ATTTTATTTCATCCATTCATCTACCAATTATTTTAGTCATCCATCCTCCATTTCATCCATCATCCATCCAACCATCCATTTTTCAACTATCCATCCGTCCATTCATCATTCAATCCATTCATTCATCTTTTATTTCAACTATTCATTCATCCATTAATCCATCCATCTATTTATCAATAGTCCATTTCATTCATCCATCCTTCTACCATTTCATTCATCATCCATCAATCCACAAATCCATCATTCTATCTATTTATCTATGCATCCATATTCCATTTTATTCATCCATCCATCTACCATTTCATCTATCCATGCATCTTCCATCCACCATTTCATTCATCATCCATCCACCCACCCACCCATCTTTCACTTCATCCCTCTATCCACAAATCCATCATTCAATCAAACACATCTATTCATTCACCATTGCTTCCATCCATCCATATTTCATTTCATCCATCCATCTTTCATTTCAACTATCCATCCATCAATCTATAAATCCATCATTCAATCCATCCATCCATATTTCATTTCATCCATCTACCATTTCATTCATCATCCATCCACCCATCCATCTTTCATTTCAACTATCCATCCGTCCATCCATTAATCTATAAATCCATCATTTAATCCATACATCCATCTTTCATTTCAACTATCCATCTATCCATCCATCCAATCCACAAATCCACCATTCAATCTAATCATCCATAGTCCATTTCATTTATCCATCCATCTACCATTTCATCTAATTATCCATCTTTCATTACATCCAACCAAATTACCATTCAATCCATCCATCACTCAATGCATGCATCTATCGATAATTCCATTCATCATTCAATCCATCCAACTATAATTCAATCTCACTCGATCCATCCATTTATTTATCAATCTATCATTTTCCTTCCATGCATCTATCCATCATTCCATCCATCAATCTACAAATCCATAATTTCACTCATCTATCCATCCAATCAATCCATACATTTAAAATCCCATCATTCCATCAAACAACCCATCTATCAATTGTTCACCCATCTATAACTTCATCCATCCATCAATATTTCATTCCATCATATCCATCCATTCATCCATTATTCAATCCATCTATCTTTAATTAGGGCTGTGCAATTAATCGAAAATCCGATTTCGATTATGGCTTCTAACGATTATGAAAAACCATTAATCGAGAGTAACGATTATTCCATCATATACCAAAAGCGCGATAGACCACGTGCTTATGTGAGGGTGCAACACGCGCACACGCATAAGCACGCGGTCAGCATTCGGTCTCATTCGCACACTGAGACGAGCAGAGGAGAGCAGACATCTAAAGTAATCTTAACATGAGCGCTTTAATGGTCAAATAGGTGTCAAAATGTGAATGCATGTTTAGTGATTATTCATATTAACTCTCATTTGCGTAATAAACAAACAAGTTGAGAATCAAAAGACACGTGAAAGAGAAACCATTAAAGTGACAGTGCGAAATGCTGCCGCCTGTTTTATCATTAATCAAACGACGAGAACATCCCTTACTGTTCCTGACTGAAGGACTTTTGTAGCTAAAGTGTTTTTCTTAGGGTGAAGATGCTTAAAGCACAGTTTGTTTAATATTTTTATTCTATTGTATTTATTTCTCTTTCCTTTGCATGGTGGAAAATAACTGTATATATATATATATATATATATATATATATATATATATATATATATATATATATATATATATATATATATATATATAGTTGAAGTCAGAATTATTAGCCCTCCAGAATATTAGCAACCCTTTTCCTCCAATTTATGTTTAATGGAAAGAAGTTTTTTTAAAGGGTCACGAAACACCAAAACACATGTTTTGAGCTGTTGACAGTCGTATATGTGTCCCACACTGCTAAAAACACTATTAGGACACCTATATTTCACTAAAAAGTGTAAATTGGTTGTTTTTGCGTTATTTCAAGCAAATTCGTACTTCCTGTTTGAAACGAATTTTTGAAGCTGCGTCACGGTCATGATATAATAGCGTGTATTCCAGCGTGCAGACTGGGCGTCTGTGGCAGAGCGAGTCTTATTATGTCTTACAGTGTGTTGCATGCATGAGTAAGGCTTGGTTCAAACCAATCAGCGCGCTCTATTGTGCAGCTTCATTAATATTCATTACTGTCACCGTGTTTACGCCACAGAGACGCCACGTTGTGTTGGCAAAACAAGCGTGAAGTGTTGCTTTTCTAGTTTGCTGCAGTTAAGTTTCGTTTTCATTTTCTCTCTGTGAGAGCTCAGAGTCACGTGTGGATTAACAGTGTACGCGACGCTCCACAACAATAACTTACGTGTCTAAGGAGGATTATTGTTTACCTGAGAGCTGTTCTCATCTGCAAACGCTGAGATCCGGATTCGCTTGTAACGTTAGTCTCCTCTTCATAAAGACGCGGCTCTAGCTGCTGGTGATTGTTCTGTCTCTACAGATTTGGTAAGTGAGTGACCAGTGCTCTTTGTTTATTCAGTTTGTTCGTATCGAATTAAGTTAACCATTGCACTGAGTGCAAACATAGCACCGCATTTTGTGACCGGAATAACACACGCGGCTTTCTGACGCTACCTGCCGTGTGCATCTAAGTTTCCGGGAAATGCAGAGTTTTTTTCTCTCATTCGCCGTGCGGTATCAAACATTGCATGAAAAATAGACACTTAGAGCAGTTCCTCCAATCAAATATCGCGTTTGTCGCGAGGGGCATGAATGAATTCCCTGAATGAAAGAGCAAAACTGCTGTTAAAGTCCAACAATTAATAATTTGGCAAATAATTCCACTACAGATGTCCATGTAGGTTAAACACCATCACTTTCTCATGTGTGTGTATTTTGACTGAAACTCGCGCGTGCCCAAATAGACACTCCCACACCATCCCACTTTAGCTCCTCCGACACTCCCCCCTAAACAGTGCTGGACACGCCCACTTTTCTGACTTTTTCCAAAGTAGAGGTGTGAAAACACCCTGCTGAAACGAGGGGGTTTCATGGCCCTTTAAAGTTATTTCTGAACATACTAGTTTTGATATATCATGTCTAATTACTGATTTGTTTTATCTTTGCTATGATGACAGCACATAACATTTTACTAGATGTTTTTCAAAATACAACCATTCAAATTAAAGTGCAATTCAAAGGCTTAATTAGAGTAAATAGGCAAGTCATTGTATAACAGTAGATTCTTCTGCAGACAATCAAAAATATATATTGCTTAAGGGGGCTAATAATATGGACCTTAAAATGGGTTTCAAAATATTTAAATCTGCTTTTATTCTAGCCAAAACAAAACAAATAAGCCTTTCTTCAGAAGAAAAAAAAATAGAGGAAATACTGTTAAAATTCCCTGCTCTGTTTAACATAATTTGGGAAATAGTTATTTAAAAAAAACTAAATTCTCAGGAGCGCTAATAATTTTGACTTCAACTGATAATCGTTTAGAATAATCGTGATTACAATTATGACCAAAATAATCGTAATTATGATTTTTTCCAAAATCGAGCAGCCCTATATTTAATTACATCTACCATTCAATCCATCTATTCATCAATATATTATTTCATCCATTCATCCATCATTCAATCCATCAATCTATGATTCCATCCATCCATCCATCCATTTCCTTCATCCATCCATTGACTATTTCATTCATTCAATCAACAATCCATCAATCTATTCATGATTCAATCAATCCATTTGTTAATCAATCTATCATTCAATCCATCTATTCATCAATATATTATTTCATCCATCATTCAATCTATCAATCTATAATTCCATCCATCCATCCATCTTCCATTTCCTTCATCCATCCATCAACCATTTCATTAATTCAATCATCAATCCATTCATGATTTAATCAATCCATTTGTTAATCAATCTATCATTCTATCCATCTATCGATTCATTCATCCATCCATTATTCAATCTATCTGCCTATTATTCACCCATCTAGTTTTATTCATCCATCAATCAACCCATGTACCTATTATTCACCCATCTATGATTTCATCCATCCATCAATTTTTCATTCCAACATTCAGTCTATCATTCTATCCATTCATTCATTATTCAACCCATCTCTCTTTACTTACATCTACGATTCAATCCACCTATTTATCAATATATTATTTCATCCATTCATCCACCATTCAATCCATCAATCTATAATTCCATACATCTATCCATCCATTCATTTTCCATTTCCTTCATCCATCCATCGACTATTTAATTCATTCAATCATCAATCCATTCATAATTCTTCAACCAATCCATTTGTTAATCAATCTATCCATCTATCGATTCATTCATCCATCCATTACTCAATCTATCTGCCTATTATTCACCCATCTAGTTTTATTCATCCATCAATCAACCCATGTACCTATTATTTACCCATTTATGATTTCATCCATCCATCAATCTTTCATTCCAACATTCAGTCTATCATTCTATCCATTCATTCATTCATTATTCAATCCATCTATCTTTACTTACATCTACCATTCAATCCATCAATATATTATTTCATCCTTTTATCTATTATTCAATCCATCAATCTATAATTCCCTCCATCCATCATTCAATCCATCCATCTATTCATTCATTTTCCATTTTCTTCATTCATCCATCAACCACGTCATCCATCCAATCATCATTCCATCAATCAATTTGTTAATTTATTATTCCACCCATCTATCGATTAATTCATCCATCCATCATTTAATATATCTACTACGCTATTTATCCATGCAAAACCATTTCCAATTATTGGTCAGTAATATTTTAAACAAATTCAGAAGCAAATACATTCTTAATATTTTATTTAATCGATTAAATGTATTTGCTGCACTCAGCAACACTATGCAACATTATGACCAGAGTCACTATCAAAACAGGAGAATGCCACATGTTCATCACTGATATTAAAGGCGTAAGTTCTCAGAGAAGTGTGTGAGTGAGTGTGTACCTCCGCAACCACAGACTGATAACTATTGTATGTTTTGGCCTCCAGTGTCTGAATGTAAGAGCTGAAATATCCCACAGCCTCCTGCCACCGATGATGCAGCATCGCTTCTCTCAGCAGCTCCAGACACTTTCTGTTGCACTTCAGAAAGTAGATCCCTGTGAAAAAACCTGAAAAGACAAACTAAAATATTCAATAATGCAATATAAGGACTACGGCAGCACAATATATATCATTTCGGCATCTATATTGAATTGTGCACATTTGAGCAGGATCTTCAATGTCCAGTTTATTATTTGCATGTGATTTTAAGGCCTGGTTGAGTTATTAGGCAAGTTTAAAACACCACTGAGGGAATTGTCTTTATTTCGCAATATATATCGTAAAAAACTAAATATCACAATGTTGTTTTTTCCAATATTGTGCAGCCATAATGTGAACCATTTTCACATTTCCGGGTTTCTCAGCAGCAGAAGTCGTCATAGTGAGTAGTGTCTGTCTGCGGACTGCAAGACAGGGGCGTAACTTGAAGTATACTGGAAATTTGCTAATTGCGACTTTATAACTTGGAATTGCGACTTTGTTACTCGGAATTGCAACTTTACAACTCGGAATTGCGACTTTTTAACTCGGAACTGCGACTTTATAGGTCAGAATTACGACTTTACTACTTGGAAATGTGACTTTATCACTCAGAATTGCAAAATTACTTTATTACACGGAAATGCGACTTTATTACTCAGAATTGCGACTTTATCACTCGGAATTGCAACTTTACTTCTTGGAATTGCGACTTTATTACTCGGCAATGTGACTTTATTACTCAAGATTGCGACTTTATCACTCGCAATTGCGACTATATTACTCGAAAATGCGACTTTATTACTCAGAATTGCGACTTTATCACTCGGAATTGCAACTTTAGTTCTTGGAATTGCGACTTTATTACTCGGCAATGCGACTTTATTACTCAGAATTGCGACTTTATTACTCAAGATTGCGACTTTATCACTCGGAATTGCGACTATATTACTCGGAAATGCGACTTTATTACTCAGAATTGCAACTATTACTTTGAATTGCGACTTTGTAACTCGGAATTGTGACTTTATTACTTGTAAATGCAACTTTATAACTCGGAATTGCGACTTTATAACTCGGAAATGCGACTTTATAACTCGGAATTGCGACTATCACTCAGAATTGTGACTTAATAACTCGGAATTGCGACTTTATTACTCGGAAATGCGACTTTATAACTCAGATATGTGACTTTATTACTCAAAATTGCGACTTTACAATATGGAATTGCGACTTTATAACTGGGAATTGCGACTATTACTCAGAATTGTGACTTTATAACTCGGAATTGCGACTTTATAACTCGGAATCGCGAATATTATTTAGAATTGCGACTTTGTAGCTCGAAATTGCGACTTTAACACTCGGAATTGCGACTTTATAACTGGGAATTCCGACTATTACTCAGAATTGTGACTTTATAACTCAGAATTGCGACTTTATCACTAGGAAATGCGACTTTATAACTCGGAATTGCGACTATCACTCAGAATTGTGACTTAATAACTCGGAATTGCGACTTTATTACTCGGTAATGCGACTTTATAACTCAGATATGTGACTTTATTACTCGAAATTGTGACTTTACAATATGGAATTGCGACTTTATAACTGGGAATTGCGACTATTACTCAGAATTGTGACTTTATAACTCGGAATTGCGACTTTATAACTCGGAATCGCGAATATTATTTAGAATTGCGACTTTGTAGCTCGAAATTGCGACTTTAACACTCGGAATTGCGACTTTATAACTGGGAATTGCGACTATTACTCAGAATTGTGACTTTATAACTCGGAATTGCGACTTTATCACTAGGAAATGGGACTTTATAACTCGTAATTGCGACTTTATAACTCGGAATTGCGAATATTATTTAGAATTGCGACTTTGTAGCTCGAAATTTAACATTTAAAATTGCGACTTTAACACTCGGAATTGTCTTTTTAACTTTGAATTCTGACTTTATAACTCACAATTCTGACTTTATATCTCAGAATTCTGACTTAACTCAGAATTGCGACTTTATAAATCAAATTGCGACTTTATAACTCAGAATTGCGACCTTATAGCTCAGAATTCTAACTTTATAACTTGCAATTCTGGCTTAACTCGGAATTGCGACTTTATAACTCTGAATTCTGACTATATATCTCAAGGTTTTGACTTAACTTAGAATTTTGACTTTATAATTTGTTTTTACATTGTATTTATTTATTTATTTATTTATTTTTATTCAGAGGCTGGAACGGGCTTCCATACTTTTGTCATCAGAAAGTGTGTCATGAGTAAAATTTGATAGAAATTTGATTTTCCCCGCTTGTTAAGGTAACGTTACATTAAGCCACGTTAAGCTTTTTCCTTTTAATGGACTTCAATGTTGATGTTTTGATGTTTAGGTGCATTAAGCCACTTTAAGTGCTTTAGAATGTCCCTCAGAATCCCAGCTTAATCTCTTATCTTATTTGTGTGCAATAACCCTCCGAATTGCGAAAACAAGTAACTTTACACGCATTCTGGGTGCATTATAATGAATTTAGAGTAAACATGAGGGTGTAAATGAAACTTTACCTCGGTCTTTAACTTGACAGTGAAGCTGGACTGGTCTTTTCAGCCGTTGCCGATGTTCACTTTCATCTTGTGTAAAATCCGCGTGTGTTTCTGCAATGTTGAGCTCAGCTTCGATGTCATCCATTTCTCAGTGCAATACGGCGACTGGCCTTCCTATTCAGATGATGATGATGAACGAGGCATGAAAGAAATATGTTATTATAAACACTATTGACTCACTAAATAGTGCACTTGTGAATTTGTGGACTTCTTTGGACATGTGAGGATGTGAACTAAACTCTTCTTCATAAAAACAAGCGATGATCGTGACCGGGTCATAGCGCCACCTGCAGCACTAGAGGAATGAGAGAAACAATACGAAGGACTCAATCCAGCAACCTTCTTGCAGTGAGGTGAAAGTGCTAACCACTGAGCCACCATGCCTGAAATATTAAATCTTACTATTAATTTGGTAACACTTTATTTGAAATTATAATTCACACTTGAATTAACGATTCACGATTAAACTAAGACTTTTAGCTCAATAATTTATTAATTTGCTGCTTATGGTTCATTAGGTATAGTTTGGTTTATGCATTGATTAGGAATGTAGAATAGGATAATATTTTATAAGTTAATATCTTATATATTCAATCATTCGTTCATTTTCGGCTTAGTCCCTTTATTAATCTGGGGTAGCCACAGCGGAATGAACCACCAACTTATTCAGCATATGTTTCATGCAGCGGATGCCCTTTCAGCTGCAACCCATTTCTGGGAAACATCCACATACACTCATTCACACTCGTACACTATGGACAATTTAGCCTACCCAATTCACCTGTATGACATGTGTTTGGACTGTGAAGGAAACCGGAGCACCCGGAGGAAACCCACACCAATATAGCGAGAACATGCAAACTTCACACAGAAATGCCAACTGACCCAGCTGAGGTTCGAACCAGCGACCTTCTTGCTGTGAGGCGACAGCACTACCAACTGTGCCACTGCGTCGCCTAATGCAGTAGTTAATAGTGTAAATTGTGATTTGAACTAACCATCATTAATTAGTTGACCTTATTAATTGAGGAGCAATTAATTGGTCTTTTTATTTGTTTTCTTATCTCTTTTTTTTGTTTTTGATGTAATCTCAACAAATAAATAGATAAAAATTTAATGAAATCACAATAAAACCAAACAATAAAGAATAGATCAAATGTAAATAATAACTACCTAAATAAAACTTTTTAAAAAATCCAAATAAACACACCAAAACAAATCCAAATAAATAAATAAATAAAAACATAAGCATGCCCCTACACACACTACATAAAATGTATTTATTTTATTTTAGATATTTGTTATTAAATTATATATAGATAAATATATTTTCACAGCACAGTGTAGAGCCAGTGTTCCCCCAGCTGATCTGTGTGGTGTGTTGTTGGTGCTGCTATCTCTTTAAGCGCAGGCTCTGTAACCTGACTCCAGCTTCTCTCCTCCTCACTGAAGCAGCTCAGCTCGCCTCCGGTCTGCTGACGTGTCGGCAGCGGCTCCGCGATCAACAGCTGCCAGCATGGCTGCACCGAATAATCCCCGGTTTTACTCACTTTTTACCCTCCTCCTGTGCTCGTGCTTCGGCGGGAGCTGCTCGGACCGGCGGTTCTCGGAGCTGAAGCGCTGCGCGGATGAAGAATGCAGCAGTGAGTATCTGCAACTTTTCATCTATTCGGGATGCTGGATCATAAAAGTTCTGCGCTGCTGACGTCATAAAGGCCGCATCGGCCGCCGCCGCGGGGAAACTGCAACTTTGTAACATTCTGTGACTTAAAAGAGTTCCATTAGAATGTCGATCCTACATGTGACGTACAGGCGAAAATGACATGAGGGCTGGCGCGTCCTTGAAGATCCAGTGTGCTGATAACAAATGCTGGGTTGTTGAAACCTAATGTTAAAACAAACCAACCGCTGGGTTAAAAGGTGTCAGTTAAATATAATTAGGGGTAAAATAACCTAACATTAGGTTTGTTCATATTTAACTCAAGGTTGGGTTACGAGAACCTAGCAGGTTTGTTTTTTTGAATGTGAGCTCAGTTTAGCTAGTCAAGCTAACAACAACAACAACACAGAGTATTGCATGCGAAATGAGAGCTTTAGTTTGATATTTTATGTGTTTAATATGATGTGAACACCCATTAACAGTGTTAAACACGAGGCCTGGATTTAAATCTCTGTCAAACAGAAGCGATTGGTTTAATGTAAATGGCGTATTTACATACAACCTGCAGAACATGATTCCACTGTGGGTGTTTTGCGCACTGAACCATGTTTTATATCTTCATTACTTAATATTTCCAGAATAGAGTTAAGGATGAATGGTATAATCTCAATATATGAATCAATCTGTATGACTACTTCTAAATTATAGTGAACACTATATTGATTTTGAACCATGTATTATGCAACACTTTTTTAACTACAGTGAACTGATAAACTAATAAATAGTGTAATATACTGTCGTTTTCACTACAGTAAACTGTGTTGTATTGTTGTTTAATAGGTCCTGTAGGTGTAGAATAGTACAGTATTGGGTCATTTGGTCATAGTTGTTGTGTTACCAACAACTACAGAATCACCAAAGCTTATTAATTGTACTTGTTGTACAGTATGTTTTAAAAACACTATACTCTGTAAGAGGCTGGGTGGTTGTAACCTAATGTTAGGTCAAATATGTCCAAACACAACCGCTGGGTTAAAAAAGCCATTTAAATTTAATTGAAAAGAATTAATTACCCACAGTTGGGTTACGACAGCCAACCATTTTTATTTTTTTAATGTGAGCTCAGTTTAGCTAGCTGAGCTAGCAACAACAACAGCAGCAGCAGCATTGAGATTTGTGTATGTGAAACGAGAGCTTTAATGTGTCATTTTATGTGTTCAATATGTTGTGAACACACACTGTAAGCATTAACTGTGTTAAACACGAGGCCTGGATTTAAATCTCTGTCAAACAGAAGTGATTGGTTTAATTTAAAGGGCATATTTACATACAATCTGCAGAACATGACTCCACTGTCGGTGTTTTGCGCACTGAACCATGTTTAATATCTTAATGCCTAATATTTCAAGAATGGAGGTAAGGATGAATGATGTAATCTCAATATTTATATATACCATAACTTATTAATTCACATAGATGTTCTGCAGTATGTTTCAAAAACACTATACTCTGTAAGATGCTGGGTTGTTGTAACCCAGTGTTAAGTCAAATCTGTACAAACTCAACCGCTGGGTTAAAAAGTGCCATTTAAATTTAATTGGGGAAAACATAAATAACCCAACATTGGGTTTGACCAAATTTGACCAAACGTTGGCTTACAACAAGGTGACAATTTTTAAAGGTGAGCTCAGTTTAGCTAGTTGAGCTAACAACAACAACATTTATTTACAACAGCAGTTATTTACAGTAAATACAACCTGCTAAACATGATTCCAGCTGTGGTTGAGGAGTGTGTTTTATTTCTTAATCACTTGATAGTTGAAGAATGGAGTGAAGGATGCATAACAAATCCATCTTTATTACTACCTATGCTTATAATAAATATTTTAGTGTTTTGAACTCTGTGTTGTATGTACAGCACTTTATAAACTAGTGTATTACTAGTCTAACTGATAAACTAATAAATAATGTAGTGTACTATAAATTTGACCAAAGTAAACTGTGGTGTATTGTAGTATAATAGGTCCTGTAGGTGTAGAATACTATAGTATTGGGTCATTTGTTTATATTATAGTTGTTGTGTTGCCATATAGAAAACTATATATGGGTGTAATAGATCATGGTTGATCTGTGATTTGTATGGATCACAACCTATGGTTCGGAACACACGTGGCCTGTGGATTAGTATTTTTTTAATTATAGCAGAGAGATCGCCTCTCGCCTCATTCATATCGCATGTATGAAAGCATTTAGGCTTTCCTGTAAAATATAATTATGATGGAGGAAGTTGTGGGTTAATAGGGGATGCGGTGGGTTTCCTAGGTCACTACTTGTTTATCCTGCATTAATGCATTCAGTGTGACGATCAGTCATTAAAAGATCAGGATCTCAACACCCACGCAACATAAATTATAAATGATGCTGATTTGCATACGTTTATTAATCCTTTCAATCGCTGCATTCAAATCTGAAAACGCAAAAAACAAGAAATGAAGTTTCACAAACTAATTTCGAGAGGAGCACGTGATATGATTGACTGCAGCTGGTCACTCATCTACACTCATTAGCTAGCCAATCAGATTCATCCAAACTCACTCAGGGCTCGAAATTAACTTTTTTACTTGGTAGCACCGGTGCTCCCAACTTCAAATATTTAGGAGCACCAAAATAAATTTAGGAGCACCAGAAAAAAATTAGGAGGACCCACCAAAAATGAATGAGCACTTTTTAAGGGATTTATTGTATTTTAAAACAACATTAATAGGACTGACAAAAACCAGAAACAGCTATCGAACTAATGCTGCGAAGACATTGATATTTGTGTGCAATAATTCCAAAATGAATGTCTAATTATTAGGCCATAGAATATTAATGATGATGAAAATGACAATAATAGTAACAATGAATTACATTTCTCATTATGATACTGCCTTGAATGTGCATGAATGTAGGTAATCTGCTATAAAAAGTCTGTTACTTTGTGAAAAATAAATGTATAGTTTGCATCAAACAAAAAGCATTGCAGTAAGAAATATTGATTTTGTACTGCTGTTTTTATATGCATGTCAATTTAATAAATAATATTTCTGCTACAAAACAAACAAAAGATTATAATAAACCATTCAATTCAATGATGAAAGCTGCAAAGCAGTAATCAGTAAATAAATAAATAAAAATAATATACACCTCAAACAAGAATAGACAAAAGAAAGTAAGTAAAGTCTCACTTCTATCACTCTTTAAAAGTTTTGGTTTCAGTTTGTGTCAATTTAAAGGTTCAGTCTGAGCTGATCTTCATTTTTCTGTGTTAGTGGAAAAGCAGGCGAGTCAGCCGACCCAATTTATGAGCAGGCAGAGCAGGATTCTTGCACTAACCATCGGCGCAATACCGGTCTTTGTTATGAGCCGCAGTTTCAGTGTAAACTTAGTAAAGGCGAGCTTCTTTGGCGATGAAATGTACAGTATTAGATTAGACTTTTAGCGGACATTTGCGCTGAACACGCAGTGAATGCGACGCATGGACATTCGGGCGCCTTCTCCAAGAAGCGCGTACTCGATTGATCTCAGCTGGCGGATCATTATTCACCACGTGACGTGTCATGATCGCTCTCATCTGCGCCTCAACTTTAGGTGCGGTTTGCAAACCTGTGTGCTTTAAGTTTTTACTCTTCAGCCGTTTGCATTTCCCGTGGTCATAAAAGCTCCCTCCCTGTGATCTGACAGCGGAATACCTTGAGTGAATGACAGCTAATATGAACCAATATAGCGGCAGAGAAGAGCGATTCAGCACGTTTTTACAAAAAATCAAAACAGGTCGCACTACAACCATTATCTGCAGTCGCACTAATGCGCCCAGATATATTATGAGGTCGCATAGATTAATTTTCGGGCGCATATGTGACCAAAATGGTCGCAATTTCGAGCCCTGTCACTATAAGTAACCTAGCTAAGAACTACTCCTTTATCTTCGTTTTCCCGAAGAAACCCCCCATCCACCCTTTCTCCTCCTTTCCTCTTTTGCCGAGGGGAGCTCTCGAGAACACCTGACCTCGTACTCCCCTCACATGCTCTATGAACCTGGTGGGAGCCCTGGGCTCAACTATCTCCGAGCTCAGGGTTCTCTCCTGGGACAGCATGCCAAACCTGCTAACTTGCTAACAAGTTGTCAAACAGTATCCAAGTGTGAACTCTTGAAAGAGATTTAGTCTTCTGAGATGGTTATGAAGTTAGATTTAAATAACACAGCAGTACTGCGAGAACAGATTATAGTTTAGATGAAACCACTGATGTTTATGGTGAGGATTAAAATCATCCTCGTATGCATTAAACGATTCTCAAACATGAAAGTTGTAGGCAGCAATTACATTATTTAACCAATAGCTGGCCATCAAAAATATGCCACTTAATAATTCTTCAGAAATGATCATCTAGCAATGAAACATGAAGCTTTATGAGTGAAGAACTGAATCATTTATTGAAGATGAGGCTAAAAATAAATATGGGTTGTAAAAATGATAATGTTAGATTTCTACATTTAGGGTTATCAGCAACAGTTGGAGTAACAGTGAAGTTTTCACAGAACTGAATAATTTAATTTATTTGTATTCAGCTGATTATTTCTTCATTTAAAAAAATTAAATAAAATTACAGGTTTTAAGTTTTATTTGATAAAACCAAACCAGTGTCTTGCAGTGCTTTTTTTGTAATAAATGGAAAGCAAATTACTATTGTCACCACCGATTTTTGGCTGATCCAAAAAATGGTCCGATCCATGACTAAAACACCATAATGTGACCTTAACCGTGAGATTTGTGATCCATTACACCACTAATACTATAGTATAGTATATAAATACTATAGAACTATAGAATCACCACAACATATAGAAGATTATATACATATAGAATAATTCAAATGACCTAGGTGGGATAATAATTTAGTCTTCAACAGTGTCTTCCATATTGGCAAGTTATTAGATGCGCTGTTGATTCTGGTGCGGTCGACACACCATTATTAAACAAACTATAAAATCATGTTACTGTGTAAAGAACACATGCAATGATGTTTCACATCAGACAACTACAAAATATTTAACGCAGAACTTCCTGCTGCATCTTTACAGGGCGAATCGGTCATGTTTTATTTATATCTAGCAAGAAATAATATCATGTTTAATAGGAAAACTTGCTGTGAATTTACTAATCATCAGGTCAACATTAAAGATGAGCTCTTTTTTTGATTCAAAAGCTGTCACTCAGGGTAGTACCCTATTAAAAGGTACTTTTTTAAAATACTTTTTAGGTATTAAAATGTACCTTTAAGCTACAATATGGACATGTTATGTACTAATATTTACTTTTAAGGCACCATTATGGATCTTTACATACAAATTGTTTCATTTAGAAAGAGTTTCAGGCCAAGGACAGCTTTTATACCTTGATTTCTGAAAGTGTAAATTGCAATAAAACAGCTACAAGCATTTTGAGAGTCAAAAAATATATACAAAATAATGTAAGGTCTTATGAAGTGAAATGATCAGTCTGTGCAAGAAAATGAACATTATGTAGGTAATAAAGCTGTATATATGGCCATCTTAGAATAAATGCTGGATTATAAAAGCTTGCCACGTGCACTGCACACAAATGAGTAGTTTTCATACTAACATATGCATTTCTGTGTGTGTGTTTTAGTGCTTCTCGGCAGAGGAAAGGCCGCAAAGGATTTCACGGGGCCGGACTGTCGGTTTCTCTCTTTTAAGAAAGGAGAGACGATATATGTATATTATAAACTCTCAGGGCAGAGGTCAGACGTGTGGGCTGGTAGTGTAAGTATTCTCCTAATAAATGATTGGTTTATGATGATTTTGTCGTTATGGTTACTGATAATTGGTCATATATTGTGTAGTTGAGTGTGCCGAGAGTGAGTGGACTTGACAAACCACCTGTAGGATACACTGTTTTCTCTCTAGGCATCAGGGACTTTATTAGAAACACACTTGTGTTTTCTATGTTTGTTAATATAGCTAAGATTTATTTATACACTGACTGGCCACTTTATTAGGTACACCTTACTAGGACTTGGTTGGACCCACTTTTACCTTCAGACCTGCCTTAATCCTTCATGGCAGAGATTCAACAAGGTACTCAAAATATTCCTCTGAGATTTTGCTCCATATTGACATGATAGCATCACGCAGTTGCTGCAGATTTCTCAGATGCACATCCATGATGAAAATCTCCCCTTCCACCACATCCCAAAGGTGCTCCTTTGGATTGAGATCTGGTGACTGTGGAGGCCATTTGAGTACAGTGAACTCATTGTCATGTTCGAGAAACCAGTCTGAGATGATTTAGGCGTTTATGACATGGTGCGTTGTTTACTTTAATTTAGAAATTTGCTTTAACAAGCAGTTGGACAAGTGTACCTAATAAAGTGGCCAGGGAGCGTATCTTGATCTATTTTCTATAGCTAGATTCTTCATATCTAAAGTTTTTAATATTTTATTTTTGGTCTTATTTTCTGTTTCTACATCAATTGTATTTATTATTATACTCCATTATTTAAATTCTTATTAATAGTATTTTTTTTTAAACATGGGTAGTTGTATAAGCATTTCACTGAGTATAGTACTGTGTCTGACTTTGATAAGTATTATTTTAAGACACAGTCTACATTTATTAGGTTAGTTGTTCAACGGATCATGCATATCAGTAAATGTTTATAGCTATATTCAACATTTTATTATGGGTTTAAATGTTATATGCTTGTGTATGGAAGTGTATAAGGTAAATACGTCAATAAAATTGGCTATATAGGTAGTATAAAACCATGCATGCTTGCTGTTTTTAATAGTTTTTTTTTATTGTTCTATGAAATGAGAGAGGAAATGTGTATAAGATGGATAAATGTGCAAACAAATATATAATTTCAAACAGGATCTAACATCTCTGTGCATGTTTTCTTAGATCTTTTTAACATTCATTAATTTATTTAATGTTTTAATCTCTTTTAAATGCAAAACTCACCCTTTTATCTCTTCATCTCTCTGTATAGGTTGGAAACCACTTTGGCTATTTTCCAAAAGACTATCTTAATATAAATCATATATATACTGAAAAAGAATTGGAGGTACCTACAGAAGTAAGTCGGTGTGGTTGATGTTGACTGATGTTTGCTCATTCTTAACATGATTTTGTGTTAATATGGATCTGTTCTTCTCTTTCAGGAAACAGATTTTGTTTGCTTTGAGACTGGGCTTGATAAATTTGAAAGTTATGACATAGATGTGTTATTAGGAAGCAAATTATTTATGGAAATTGAGAATTCAACAGAAGAATCAAAAGAAGCAGATCCGTATGACATTTCTGAAACAGAAGAATCAGTGGAGCATCTTGATTCAGAATCTCTGCTTGAATCAGAGGCAGTTCATTCAGAATCAAGATTGCCTCTTCAATCAGAGTTGATCGATTCAGAATCAGTATTGATTCTCCAACAAGAGTCAGTTGATTCTGAATCAAAATTGCCTCTTGAATTAGAATCAGTCAATTTAGAATCAGCATCGACTCATAAGTCAGTTAATTCAGAAACAGAATCGACTCATGAATCAGAGTTTGTTTATTCGAAACCTGCATTGACTCCTGAATCAGAGTCAGTTGATTCAGAATCAAGAACAAAGTCAATTGATTCAGAATCAACAACACAGTTAACTAATTCAGAATCAACAACACAGTCAACTGATTCAGAATCAAGAACACAGTCAACTGATTCAGAATCAACAAAACAGTCAACTAATTCAGAATCAAGAACACAGTCAACTGATTCAGAATCAATGTTAAAGTCAACCGATTCAGAATTAACCACACAGTCAACCGATTTAGAATCAACTGATTCAGAATCAACAGCAGAGTCAACTGATTCAGAATCAACAACACAGTCGAATGATTTAGAATCAACATCACAGTCAACGGATTCAGAATCAACAGCAGAGTCAAATGATTCAGAATCAGCAACACGGTCAAATGATTCAGGATCAACATTACAGTCAAATGATTCAGAATCAGCAACACAGTCAAATGATTCAGGATCAACATTACAGTCAAATGCTTCAGAATCAACGTCGCAGTCAGCAGATTCAGAATCAACAACACAGCCAATTGATTCAGAATCAACATTGGCTCTTGAATCAGAATCATTTGAGTCAGAATTAAAATCATTACCTCTTGAGTCAGAGTCATTTGATTCAGAATCAACACTGCCTCTTAAATCAGAGTCAGTAGATTCAGAATCTGTAGAAGCTTCTGAATCAGACACATTGATTCCTAAATCTACTGAAGATGACTCTGATAGCTCTCAGCCAAAGACCGTCGTCTCCTCAGAGTCAACACTGGAGCCTAAAGAAGCAGCGACAGAAGAGACAGATACTTTAACAAGCCAAGATGATGTAGAAACACAACCATCAGATTTTGATGCACTAAACATTGATGATGTTGAACTTTTGCACATCCAACATGACTCTGATTCTGAGTCACAGCTTGAAACACAAACAGCAGGTTTAGATGTAGATATCGAAGAGCCTGCTAGCCATAAAGATTTACCACTACAAACTTTAGAGAAAACACTTGAGGATGAGGACAGCTGGTCATCAGCATTAAATGAAAAAAGTGAATCGAAAGAGACTGAATCTTTTCACGAACACGCCAAAGAATCACTTTTAGTTCATGACCTCAAAGCACAAAGAGATTTTGAAGAAGAGGAAAATATTGATGATGTGGAATTTTCTCATTCTCCTCACAATACGAAATCTGCTTCAGATGAGAGTGAAGTCGTCCCATCTGAACCAGCTCTGGAAACATTAGCATTAAATATAAGTGAAATCACAGAGAATACAAAGGAAAATGCAGATGATTTTGTTATGAAGGCCAGCATGAACACCAATGAAAATGCACACAAAAACATTGCAGACGATGCTCGGGATGCAGCGATAAACAGAAGCCAACAGCCTACAGAGTCCATCGATGAAGATGAAACTGAGAACGTTTCTGAAAGCCCAGAATCTGCTCCTCTACTTTATAAAACAGACGAACAGATCGAAAAGGTGAAGAACGAACTGGAGGATCTGCTTAAAAACACACTGGAGACTGAGGAAGATAGTCCTGGAGGTGAAGAGGACGAGGCTGAAGAGCTTCTGGAAGACGAAAACGCTCTTCTTTCATCTAATAGTCCTCACCTCACAGACCAAAATCCTGAAGACAATGAGCAACATGATGATGATGGTTTGGTTGAATCTCAACAAAGCGAAAACACAACACAAGCAGATGAAACTGAAACTGAAGAGGTTGGTCTTCCTCCTGAAGAGCCTGAATACAGCGATAGCGTACTGAGACTCACAATATTGCGAGATCACTTGAAGGTAGGCGACTGTTGGTAACCAATTTTCTTGATGCAATTAATTGCTGAAGCTTTTATTGTGATATACAGTGGGGCAAATAAGCATTGAATGCGTCACCATTTTTTCTCAGAAAAGATATTTCTGAAGGTGCTGTTGACTAGAAATGTTCAGCGGACAACCAAAGAAATCCACACATGCAAAGAAAACAGTATTAATTAGTTTACAAATTAAGTTATGCATAATAAAATGAAATGACGTACGAAATATTATTATTAAGGTCAATATTATTAGCCCACTTAAGCAATATTAGTTTTCGATTGTCTACAGAGCAAACCACTGTTATACAATGACTTGCCTAGTTACCCTAATTAACCTAGTTAAGCCTTTAAATGTCACTTTAAGCTGAATACTAGTGTCTTGAAGAAAATCTAGTCAAATATTATATACTGTCATCTTGGTGAAGATAAAATAAATCGGTTATTAGAAATGAGTTATTAAAACTATTATGATTAGAAATGTGTTGAGGAAATCTGCTCTACAATAAACAAAAAATGGGGGAAAATATACATGGAGGCTAATAATTCTGATTTCAACTGTATATTGATTTGTTGAAAATCGACATCTGTCTACTTAAAGGATGAGGATACCGAGCGCATGCAGAAGTACTTCGGCCTGAAGAACATGTTCAGAATCGAAGCCATGTTCTCTGATCTGGATCTTGAGATGAAGTCTGCTCGGGAGATGAAGACGGATACGGAGGAGATCGAGCAAACGCTGGACCAGATCACGGAGGCTTCAGAAAACTCCATTCTCGATGCCACAGAGGACATACTTAACGACAGAGACCGGAAAGCTCTGGAGGATGGACTGCAGAAGCAACCGGAGATGTATGATGTTGAGGCCGCCATGTTGGACGCTTTTCAGGAGATCGTTTTCGCTTTGCGACAGAAATATTCGACAGCCAGCGACAGCGTCCCATTGGTCGAGGAGGAACAAAGTGCATATGAAAGAGGTAAGGGAATGAGTTTAGTTATTAATTCTGAATGAAAAATGAGCAATTTCATGTAAATGTCAACTTTGGGGATTAGGGAGAGATGGTATAATGGTATATATTGGTATTTATCGATTGTTAGCATGTTTTCATTCCTTGTATACTGTGAAATGTAAGTAAGAATGCATGACCAAGACAGTACGACTGCAAATATTGTTACCGCAGAAAGAAGTGTGTAATGTTAGATTTTTTTTTTTACATGTGTACCGCAAAATGTAAATAAGTAGGCGTAGCCAAGACTGTACAACTGTATTTATCGTTACAACATGCAGTGTGTACCGTAAAATATATTTTTAGTTCCGTGTATACTGCGAAATGTAAATAAGTGGCTGTGGCCAAGATGGTACGACTGTATATATTGTTACTGAAGAATGAAGTGTGTACCGTAAATTTTTTTTGTTACACGTGTACCGCAAAATGTAAATAAGTGGGCGTGGTCAAGACTGTGCGACTTTATGTATTGTTACAGCATGAAGTTTGCACCGCAAAATATTTTTTTAGTTCCGTGTATACTGCGAAATGTAAATGAGTGGGCGATGCCAAGATGGTACGACTGTATATATTGTTACTGCAGAATGAAGTGTGTACCGTAAATTTTTTTTGTTACACGTATACCGCAAAATGTAAATAAGTGGGCGTGGTCAAGACTGTGCGACTTTATGCATTGTTACAGCATGAACTTTGTACCGCAAAATATTTTTTTAGTTCCGTGTATACTGTGAAATGTAAATAAGTGGGCGTGGTTAGGACGATACAACTATATATATTGTTACAGCATGCAGTGTGTACCGTAAAATATTTTTTTAGTTCCGTGTAAACTGCCAAATGTAAATAAGTGGGCGATGCCAAGATGGTACGACTGTATATATTGTTACTGCAGAATGAAGTGTGTACGGATTTTTTTTTTAAATGTGTACTGCAAAATGTAAATAAGTGGGCGTGGCCAAGACTGTACAACTGTATATATCGTTACAACATGCAGTGTGTACCGTAAAATATTTTTTAAATTCCGTGTATACTGCGAAATGTAAATAAGTGGCGTCAGTGTTGCTATTAAGGATGGGCGGTATGATGGTATATATCATACAATAGAATATGGTAGAATATTGTAAGTGCAGTTATTTTTGTTGTTGGCCTTAGGTGAACCTAGAGCTGAAAATAAACACTAATGCTGGGAGACGAGAGAAAAATAACAACAACCAATGAGAATCAGAATTTCTGCCATAGCTTTCAGTCATCCCTGGTGTTTTAAAGTCTTAATGCACCGCTTTTACACCTAACACTTTCTTAGGAACACTCAAAATCACAAACAATAAAAAAATTAAAAATATTGCATTTATGAAGTGAGCTTCACTCAGGTGAGTGGGCTTGACAAACCACCTGTAGAAAAACTCTTTTCTCTATTAAAAAAATTAAAAACTCACCCTTTTTTAAGGCTTATTTATACTTCTGTGTAAATTGCACGCATATGGTCAATATGGTTGCATTGCCCTCGCCATGACACTGTAAATAATGCAATGTTTAATGCAATAAATTTTTCCCAAAATCAAGCAGCCCTCCTGAGCACTGTAAATTTTTATACAAATATTGAATCAAATTTAAATGAATTAATACTTTTTAATTGAATAAACTGCTTGGGTCTATATTATTAGAATAGTTTTTTTTGTACCTCTCCAGTAAACAGCACTTAGGAATTATAATGTCAAATTTCACAGAAGGTCTAAGAATTGTGCCTTGATTTTAATTGTGCCACCAGATGACCCCCGAGCTGACGCTGAAGAGGTGAACAATCTGGACATTACAACTGAAATAACTGAGCCAGCTGAAACTCCTGAAATGCACAAGGAGCAGAATGAATCTGAACCGATTCTGAATCCTGAATTGAACGTGAACCCAGATTTGTCCCACAATAAAGATGTGGATCTTGAGGAGGACGGAGGCCATTTCAACAGGAATAAAGACGCTCAAATCAGTTTCGAAGACGCTGAGGAGATCCAAAAGGGACCTCATGCTATTTTGGAGAAGCCAGTGGACATTGGCTTTCACTTTGAGATGGATCCGTCTTCAGGTTTGTTAGTTTTAATTCATTTGTTTTGTTTTTTTAAGTTTGGCTAGAGCTGCATGATATTGGAAAAAGCTGACATTGCAGTATTTAGTTTTGCCGTGATGTATATTGCAATATGAATATAATTTCACCAGATAATAATTCACCTGAGCTTTTCACTCATCATAGCACACGTGCTGCTGATAATGTGACAATAAAAGTGATTTGATTTGATTTAATTTGTATATTTAGAAAGATATCATATATTAGATTAAATGGGATGATCAAGTCTTTTTCTATGCAGTGCATCTGCATAATATATAAAATACAAGCATGTATATGCAAAAATAAATGTTAAATAAGCAGTTCTTTATGGTTTTCTGGTGAGTCTAACAGTATTCAAGTACAAAAATTGAACAATCAAGCATAAAATAACACAGCCATCATCGTTATATAAATAATTTTGTACAATAATGATCATTCATTCATGTTCATTTGCCGCTTTTTTTTATTTATCAGGGTTCGCCACAGTGGAATGAATCGCCAACTATTTTAGCATATGATTTACACAGCGATTGCCCTTACAGCTGCAACCCAGTACTGGGAAACAACCATACACACTCATTTGTACACATACACACTCATACACTACGTTCAATTTAGTTAATCAATTCCCAATAGCGCATGTGTTTGGGTGGTGGGGGAAACCGGAGCACCCGACGGAAACCAACATGGGGAGAACATGCAAACTCCACACAGAAGTGCCACTGGCCCAGCTGGGACTCGAACTAGTGATCTTCTTGCTGTGAGGCCACAGTGCTAACCACTGAGCCACCGTGCCGCCCTTTACAATAACATAAAAAATATGTATTTAATAATGTCTTCATCATTTAATTTGTAATAAATAATCTAATCCTGCGATGTGGCAATTGCGAATGCATTGCAATATCCATGCTCAATTCATATATTATTCACTTTAAATGGGTGATGTGAGGCGTTGCCGAACTGCATTGTGGATCCGTCAGCGTTGCTTGCTGCAGAAGTTGGGACTAGCTCAACTTTTCAAGCACCGACAGAAGCGTCAGCCAATCAGATCGCTGTATGCAAATAAACCAGCTAGACGCCTAGGCCTATTGCTGACTGAATTTCATTCTACTGACGCTGCTATGACGATCGCGGTAGCCCCAACTTCAGACACGCCTTCAGTCAAGAGGTGACGCTGAAGCCACGTGTAAATGGGGCGGAATTGATAGTAATTCAATTAAGTAAATGAATTTTGGTTCATATTGCCCCTTTCTTGATATTCACTGTATAATTGCACGCTGATTAAAACTATTTATTTGACGCATATCGTTAATTTTTTGGCACCAGGTTCGTTGGAGTCTCCGAGTGTCTCCGATTTCCATGATGCAGAAACTGGCAGTGATTCCTCCGACTCATCGACTTCAGATGAACTTCAGGATTTGGTGGTGCTTGTCAAAGAAAATCTGGGAGTTTATGGAGAGATTGTGAGTACTACAATATTCAAATATGTTGCATTAAAGTCGGAGTTTCAATAGTTGGTTCTTTCTAGGGCTGCACAATATAAGGTTTCAGCATTGCTATTGCAATGTGCGCATCTTCATAGCCCCATAGCTGAATCTGCAATGTCCAGTCTGAATTGTAGTTGACCAGGAATTGTATTTAATCACTGTATTTATATGGACTTTATATGATTTATGCAAAAAAAAAAAAAAAAACATTTTATACGTAGAATTCTTATTATTTATTTAGATTTATTTATATTTTCAAGATTTGTTTTTGGCCTTTTTGCCTTTTTAGTGAATGAATAGGACAGTTTTTTAGACAGGAAACGAAGTGGGAGCGAGAGAGGGGGTGGGGATGGGAAATGTCCTCAGGCCGGGACTCAAACTCGGGACGCTCTAAAGTGCAACTGCACCATATGTCAGCACGCTAACCACTAGGCTATTGCGCCGACTTTGCCCAGAATTTTTATCTTGTTTATAGTCCAAATATCTACATTTCAAAGCGAAAACAAGATTTTTTACTTACTCCACTGGCAGATAATTTCCTTAAAACAAGCAAAACACTCTTTATTTTCACTTATTTCTTCTGATGATGAAAACTAAACAGTAGTTTTACTTGGTTTAAGATTTTTTTTTTTTATTTGGACTAGAAACAAAACAAAACGATTCAAGACACAATGACACAAATCATAAAAATAAAGGTTCTTTATTGTGGTCTCTTGTCAAGACAAGATCTAAAACAGATCTAAAACGGCAGGGATTAAGCCAAAGGACGTTTGTATAACTCTTATTTTTATCCACGATCTTACTTTCTCTCAGATTTCACTCCCTGGAGTATTCGACATCATGTGCCTCACTCAGGACATGCGTTAGGGCTTCCCCTACCATAAAACACCTAAAACACGGATTGCTGTAAAACTCGTCAATGGCAGGGAAGCGTTTTCTCTCATGGACTGCAGGGAAAGAGTTCAGCTAAATAATTTATTGATTTGATGTACATCATAATACCATCCATACATGCAAAGCACAAATAATGTCCTTCAATTCGGTCACGTCCAGCGGCCGTCATCTTTTGTGCAATCTTCATCATTGTAAGCTGCTTGCTTTTCTGTTTGTTCTATTGCTCCGTTTGTTATATGTTTGCTCAGACTTCACATGTAAATCACTTGCGTTTCATCTGTGTCTGCTTATGACACAGGCTGGAAAACGTTTTTACCCCACTCTCATGTAATGTTAGGACTGTGAGGGCACAGGTGAGAGACCCTTTTTTCGAGAGATACATCACGTGTATGCAACATCTGTAAGTCATGTAAGACAATTAATTGCAAACTGAAATGAATATAATTTAATTATATGGTTTGGAATTGGGTGTTTTATGAAATTATTAAAAAAAATTTGCAATTATTTTGCATTTAAATAGAGAATTTTTTTTCTTTTTTTGTGGATTTTACGATGGATTAAGGGATTGCGGAACCATGAAAAACTAGGGGGTCTGAAAAACATTGCAGTGTCAGATTTTTCCAATATTGTGCAGCCCTAGTCTTCTTTTGTAGCATAAATCTGATTAAAATGGCTTCTTGAATGTTGATTGCAGAATTGCAAGAACATTTTGCATCTCCTACCCAATGTTGAATAAACCTTCTAATATTTATTATAAAATTTTATTAAACGGTTATAAATAATGACACAATTTATATCAAGCTATCTTTCAAGAATGATGTTTGTGTGAATTTAGGGAGGCTTTACCTATTTTTTGACTGTGTCCGACTCCTAAATATACATATTAATATATAAATATATATATATATATAAATAAATAAATATATATATATATATATATATATATATATATATATATATATATATATATATATATATATATATATATATATATATATATATATATATATATATATATATTCAGCTTCAATTATATTAATTCCTATAATAATTTAGCCTAGTTTTCATTTTTTGTGTATGTTTACAAAAGTTTAATAATCCCTTGCACATCTATTTATCTATTATTTGTCATTTCTATTTGAAAATATATACATATTGTTTCTGTCTTTAAATTCTTGTCAACTGTTACATTGGTTATATACATTTCATAATAATAGTTTCATAATCTTATATGGTATACACTGGTGTATACCATATTTTTATTTATGAATACAACACAAAAGTGTACTCATATGTTTTAATTCAGTCATAAGTTTATATATATTTGTATTTTATATTAAAAATATAAGATGTTTTTTTATATTAAAAAACTAATATGTGTATCACATAAATAATATCCAATACAGTTTATTATTGATCATTGCAGAGTAAAATTACTTTCTTGTTCAATTCTGCATCAGGTCACGTGTCTGTGTCTATAGCAGAGATGCCCAAAGTAGGGACTGGTAACCTTTGATTTGGCCCACCGTCTGATCTGTAAAGATAGGGAGAATGATGGGAAGGTTGTTGGGACGAATACCTTTGTTTTTATGCGTATCACTACTGAAAAAAACGGCTTAAACCAGCCTAAGCCTGTTTTAGCTGGTCAACCAGGCTGGTTTTAGAGGGGTTTTGGCCATTTCCTGGCTGGTTTCCAGCAATTTCCAGCCTGGTCTTAGCTGGTCAGGCTGGGAGATGACCAGCTAAAACCAGCTTGACCAGCCTAGCCAGGCTGGGAGCCCAGCCAAAACCAGCTTTGTCCAGCTTAAACCAGGCTAGTCTACCAGCTAAAACCAGCCAACCAGCCTAGGCTGGTATAAGCTTTATTTTTCAGCAGGCATGCTGATTATGTTTCAATAAATCAGACTTTTAAAATTTAAATAGGGTCACATGAATGATAGAAGACAATGCACAAGTCATTGGTGGCAAATCAAGGCAAAGGCTCGACTAGTGTATTCAGAATTGAACTCCATTGTGTTATAAATGTGATTGTTTATGTTTTCTACGTATTTTTTTATATTAGTGAACTAATTAGGAAACTACCCATGGTAAATTTAATGTATTATGGTTTGGAATAAATATATATTCGGTTTGGTATATATTCGGCCCACAGCCCTCAATTAAGGTTGATTTTTGTCCCGTTATGAGAAAAAGTTTGGGCATCTCAGGTCTGTAGAGTACCCTGCTAAGTGTACTTGCATGAATGAAATCCAATAGCGCAGCATGCTAAACTTGCTAATAAAACTCCATACGTGAATCATATGTGTATGAAACCATAGCCAAACAAAGTTCCAAAGCATTGTTATTCAGTTTAGCCTGATGTTGTTGTACATACTCTAAAAAAGCATCGTTAACATAACTCCAAGTTGTCAAAACAACTAGCATCTCTGCTAATGTGATCAAACGGTCTCGTGTTCTGACTAATCAGAGGCCGCTGTGAGCATCACGTGACTGCGAGCACACAGAGTGGAAGTGCTTGTCTCAGTGAGAGACTCTCCGCTCAGCGTTTTGAAATGTTGACGTGTTGAAAGAGATCAACACTGATCTTACTCCAGCCGCGATTTCAAAACATACTAACTATTTATATATATTTATTATCCATCTATGCTATTACTTCTTAGTTTAAACAGAATAGCTGTGTCAAACACGCGCGACAAAGCGGTTTTATATTAAAAATCCACCGGCTTCCGATATGAACCAGCGGTCCGCCATTTATACACTGTTTATCGGCTTCAACCTCCGTTTCTGATCGCTAATAAATCAGCTAAAACGCTTTATGAGGATGGACTCACAACCAATTCTTACCTCTCAACCAGCTGAGATAGAAAACACTGCCTTTTTCGTCTTCATCCTGTCCAGACTTCACGAAGTAAGTGCCCTTTAGACTCAAAATGCTGCCTTCAGGAGTCAATTGTTTGATTTATGCTAGCTTAAACTGTTCAGAATTAACAATTTCCGTCTAATATCCGTGCAGAATTGTGTAATTAGGTCGCAGTGTTGTATTTTTTAAATCCTCCTCATTGGGGTCTTCATAGTAATTCTGTTGCAGTTGGTAAAGTCCATTTAGGGGTCGCATAATATCCCGAGACGGCTAAATTTGCTAATATAAACGGAGTTGTGTGTGTTCATTACAGGCATATTGGTGATGACTGTGTTTTACCAGAGGTGAAAGTCCACAGTAAGCAACACTGTTGTTGTGTTATTGGTGCATGTGTCTGGTGATAAGGTTCAGAGCACATTGAATACCCTTTGGATTTGTCAAATAGGTCTAAGAGTGCAGAAAGGGTCAGAAAGTGCCACATGGGCTTCATAATCTGCCTCTTACTAATATATTGTGAACACTTCATCTGTCAGCAAGTGAAGCCGAGGTGTCATATAACATATGTTCATACAAGTGCTTGAATATTAATCTAGTGTATAAGGTTTGAAATGTGCAAAGATGTTGAAACTGCTTGAAAATGTAATTGTGTTGATTCATAAATACTTCCTGTTTAGTAACAAATAAATAAGTAAAACATAATAAAATATATTATCTTAAACTCATTTTAAGAGCCGACTCTGTGCTGATGTTCATCTGCGCCTTTTGATTAAGCCGTGATTGAAGAAGGAATGCATGGAGATTCCATTTCATGAGTAAACAAAATAAATCAATAAAAAAAAAAAATTAGCACATTTCAGATGGGAGTAAAAACATTTAAGAGAGAGAATGACTGATTCAGTGTTGGGCTTGGGGCAAACATGCCATTTAAATATTTTCCATAGATGAAGAATTGCACAGTATTTGGTTTCAGCATCGATATCGCAATTTGTGTATCTGCAATAGTCACATCGCAGGATCTGCAATGTCAAGTTGGGATTATAATAACCAGGCAACCACCACAGTTCAGAACATGAGATTTGTGTGGTCATAACAGAGTTTAACCCTAATAAAAGTGAAAGATTTAATGTGGATGTGTTTTAAAGACATGATATATTATCTATCAATCCATCCATCCATCCATCCCTCTCTCTCTCTCTCTCTCTCTCTCTCTCTCTCTCTCTCTCTCTCTCTAATTCAGATGAATTTGTAAAGTGTTTTAAAGGTTTGAAAAATGCACCTGGGGTATGTGCTTGAAATGAAAAGTGCTTAATATCCTCATCAAATAAAAGTGTACACTTATTTATATATGTGTATAGTTCTAAATGATGTAACTGTGCACTTCATAATTTGTAAATTAGTTTGTCTTTGTAAAGTTTAATCAAATACCATAACCTACCTTTCCCCAATTGCCATTTACATGTCCTTTAGGGCAGAGCTGTCTTTTAGGGTGGAGCTCTCATTCTTTTAGGGCAGGGCTGTCTTTTTTTTTTTTTTTTTTTTTTTTTTTTTTTTTTTTTGGAGTGAAGCTGTAAGTCCTTTGGGGAGGGCCTATCAGTGCTTTAGGGCAGAGCTATTCATTCTTTAGGGTGGGGCTATCAATTCTTTAGGGCAGGGGTGTCCACACTCGGTCCTGGAGTGCTGGTGTCCTGGAGAGTTTAGCTCCAACCTTGATCAAACAAACCTGAAGCAGCTAATCAAGCTCTTACTAGGTATACTAGAAACTTCCAGGCAGGTGTGTTGAAGCAAGTTGGAGCTAAGTTCAGCAGGACACCGGCCCTCCAGGACCGACTGTGGACACCTCTGCTATAGGGTTTAGCTATCAGTCCTTTGGGGAGGGGCTACCAGTCTTGTAGGGTGGAGCAATCAGTCCTTTAGAGTGGAGCTAGGAGTCTTTTAGGGCCGAGCTAGAAGTTCTTAAGGGCGGAGCTATCAGACTTTTAGGGCGGAGCTGTTCATTCTTTGGGGCAGGGCTATCAGTTCTTCAGGGTTTAGCTATCAGTTCTTTGGGGAGGGGTTACCAGTCCTTTAGGGCAAATCTATCAGCCTTTCAGGGCCAAGCTAGAAGTTCTTAAGGGCAAAGCTATCAGACTTAGGGTGGAGCTATTCATTCTTTAGGGCAGGGCTATCAGTTCTTTGGGGGGGGCTACAAGTCCTTTAGGGTGGAGCTAGCAGTCCTTTAGGGTGGAGCTAGAAGTCTTTTAGGGCAGAGCTAGTAGTTCTTAAGGGCGGAGCTATCAGACTTTTAGGGTGGAGCTATTCATTCTTTAGGGCAGGGCTATCAGTTCTTTGGGGAGGGGCTACCAGTCCATTAGAGTGGAGCTATAAGTCTTTGGGCAGAGCTAGAAGTTCTTAAGGGCAGAGCTATCAGACTTTTTGGGTGGAGCTATTCATTCTTTAGGGCAGGGCTATTAGTTCTTTGGGGAGGGGCTACCATTTCTTTAGGGCGGGGCTTGAAGTTCCTAAGGGCGGAGCTATCAGTGGGTGTCTGTTTTAGCCAATCTGTCCATTCTAATTTTTCAAATTCATCCGTTCATTAATCTTTTTTTATTTTCTTACCAACACCTTTTTCCAGTCTTTTCAAATCTTAATTGGTTCCCGAAGAACTAAATCATCCACCGCCCTACATTTTTCTTTTTTTACAGCCACTCGAAACTGTCCTGAATTGTCTCACGATAGCGGAAAAAGCACATTGTTAACTTCTGTTTCATTCAATATTCTGTTTCTCTAGGATCTGCATCATAATATGAAGAAAACCACAGCTTCCGGTTCATGCAGACTTTAAACTCATTTCTCTTGTGTGTTTTTGTGTTGTGCAGCTGATCACTGCGCTTCCAGAGGAATGGCGACCGGGTCCCAATTTTCACGGAGTCCCCTGGGAGCCAGTGGTGGTCACAGTGGCCATCGGGGCCCTCACTATACTGATGTTCTTCTGGAGGACGGTGCTCGCTGTGAGAGATCCTCTTGTTTACATGATGAATGTTTTCATTCTTTTAGTATCGATTTAATCTGATGGTATCTTTCACTTGTTCTCTCTTCTTCTAGATTAAAGGCAGAAGCTATCAGTGTAAGTCACTTCTCAGCCTTGTATACGTTTTATGTGTTTACTGACCTTTTAGGGTTTGATGTACAGTTGAAGTCAAAATGCCCTCTTGGGAATTTTTCACAGTATTTCCTATAATGTTTTTTCTTCTGGAGAAATTCTTTTTTTTTTTATTTTGGCTAGAATAAAAGCAGTTTTACATTTTTAAAAAGCTGTTTAAGCTCAATATTATTAGCCCCCTTCAGCAATATTAGTTTTGGATTGTCTCCAGAGCAAACCACTGTTATACAATGACTTGCCTAATTACCCTAACTTTACCCTAATTAACCTAGTTAAGCCTTGAAATGTCACTTTAAGCTGAATACTAGTGTTTTAAAGAATGTCTAGTCAAATATTATGTACTGTCATCATGGCAAAGAGAAAAGAAATCAGTGATTAGAAATGAGTTATCAAACCTATTATGATTAGAAATGTGAAAATATACAGGGGGCTAATAAATTAGGAGGGCTAATAATTCTGACTATGTGCCATGGTAAAAATGTGTCCAATGAGGATTTTATAAGTGACATGGTTTTTAATCTTACATTTTATCTCAGTTTGATGTTTTTAAAACTGTATGACAGATTTATTATTAGGGATGCACCGATACCTTTTTTTTATGGATCCGATCCCGATATCAAAATTCTGAGTATCGACCGATACAGATCCGATCCCGATAATGTGCCGTTTTTATCATATTAATAAAAAAATAATAATTTTAACAACGTGTTGTTTCATATTCGTTTATTATTTCCCTTGCTGCATTCGTTATTTAATGTTCGAATACTGAAACAAATAACAGCCATCGCTTAAAGGGTTATATTTGACCATCAAAATGTAGTATATTTTATATCATTATCAACTTTTGATATAAAGACGCTGTGTAATTTAATTGAAATGAAATAAATTAAATGAAATTAAATGAAATAATTTAAGTGCTATATTTTTTATTAGTGAGAGTGCTTGCTCACTTTTGACAAGGCCTGTTGAAAATGATATTTCTGCCACTATAATACAAATGCACGATCATTGTTGCATTATCATTGTTTATTTTTCTGTTATGTTCAGAGATTTTAAATACATTATTTATTTATATGGCGCATGACACTGACGGTAGACAAATGGAGAACAGACAAATAACAACGGACAGATACCAAATTGTAACACACTGACAACGAATATCAAATTCACTGACACACAACGCAGAAATTCAGGGCCTCCCGAGTAGCGTCCTGTCACCACTTTTATCCCACGGTGTCAGCAGCTGGATTGGAGATCTTGGGTCAGAGGGGGGCATGGCAAACAGCTGGGCAGCGGTAGCAAATCGGAGCCAAGGTATGGGTGGAAGCAGGAGAGAGGTAGAGCGCGAGCAAGCACGGAGAGAGAAAGAGACTAGCAAAAAAAAAATAATAGTAATCCTGCAACAGGAATGTAACACCCCTCCAATCATTTTCAATTAAAATTCAATTAACCCTCCAAATAAAATTTACCCAGAGCCACGCAACATAATGAGGCGCTGTGACATGTACCTATATTTAGCACCCCTATTTGATGCAGCGGCATAGCAGTGTTTAGTCACGCGGTTGCTTTTGTTTTATGAACAGGACCAAAAACTAGTTTCGACTATTATTTAAGAATACTTGAACAAAGGGAGCTGTTTACATTGCGTTACCAAGACAACTACTGATGCGTTTTGTGTAATGTTTCAAAGAGCTTTGCTGCAGCACGACAGTGGAAAATGAAACCGTATCCATGCTGTCTGGCCCGGTTTGGCACGTAATGGAACGGTTCTGCTTTAAGAACAATTCAGCACGATAGTGGAAAAGCGGCTATTGATATGATCTGTTGTGGTCCAGCTTATGTTTCCTTTTTAGAAAATTGAGATTTTTCTTCGAAATCTGCAATAGGCTAACACTACTGACTGATATTTTACTGCAGGTTTGAAGCAGACTAAACTAAGCCGTCTGAGGCCAGTTTTACCTGATAAACATTCCCTCGCCTAAACTCGCCGTATGTCTGAAAAATTAATTTTGAAACAAATTTTGTGTTTGTTGGTCAGTTATCAACAAAATAAACAAGAATATTTGAGGTGAAGTTCAAAACAAGGTGCGCTTATATGCTTTAGCTTAAGCTGGTCTAGTATCTAGTCAATATTGTGTGCTGTCATCATGGCAAAGACGAAAGAAATTGTTTATTAGAAATTTATTATTTATAGAAAGTTATTAAAACTATTATGATTATAAATATGTTGAAAATATCTGTTAAGTTGCACTTTTTATGGCTATTATTATGCATTTATTTTTACACATAAAATATACATTCAAATATGTGAAAAATAAATAATTTGTAACTGTAGTCTTGTAACTGTGTGTATTTATGGATTCACACACACTGAGGACTGATATATGTGTGTATATAATTTAACATTAATAATAATGCATGTGTTTGTATGCTGTGATGTATTTGTGCAAGCGAATCAATATCGAACATGAATAATAATATACGGGAAGATAAGTAATCATACTTCAGATTGCTTTTATAAGCTAACGGAAATGTGATTTATATTACATAATATTCATATTTATAAAATACTTAGTACACTAATATATGTAAAAAGCTTTAATGCATGTTAAAACCAGTCAATCTAATTCATGCATGCAAATAATTACGAAGTGATTTTAAAAAGGTTAAAAATGTAATGTACATACTTATTGCACATAAATGTTTATATATTTGTTCGTGTGTCTTAATAAATATATATATTGTTTGTTGTTTTTATTTCACAGTAACTGAAAAGCAGCTTAGAGACAAAATCCAGCAGCTTCTCAATGAGAAATCTGATGCTGCGAACAAGATCACAGAATTAAATGACATGGTAAACCTCCACATTTCAATCTCTCGTCTATTGCTGGCTTTATTATTTAAATTTTAATTTCAATTTGCCTCTATGCAGATAAAAGAAAGAGAACAACGCCTGCAAAACTCAGAGAAGTCGCTGAGTTCCAGCCAACATGAAATAAAAGGGCTGAAGGTGAAATGCAGCAGCAGAATTCATTTGCTTTGACCTCATTTTCCTCACCGTGTATGATTATGTAATGTCTTTATTTGTTTTTTTATGAACTAGAATCATCACCAGAAAATGCAGAGTCAGTGGGAGCAGATGTCTGGGAGTATTTCGCAGCTCAATCAGACAATTGTGGACACACAGGAAGAAAACGCAAACCTTAATGAAAAGGTAAACTTGGCTTTAAGGCATGTTCACACCAAGAATGATAACTAATAATTATAAACATAACGATAACTACATTTGTGCCCAGACCAGCAAATAAGGATCTATTTTCTTTTTTGTAGACTTTTCTTTTTGCATTACCCTCTTATACTCAGCAGATATCCTCAGTGTGCTAGATTTCTAGTGCATCTGACCAGTGAATCCAGCTCGTGTAATCAGTAAATTTAGTGTTCTTTAAAATTAGCACTGGATACCTGAGGTGCTTTTTTTTTATACTTCTAATTTGTAGACTGGCTTTGCATTTAACATTTTTTTTTTAAATCATTCTTCGTCTTTTAAGATCTGAAGCTTTAAATTTATATGTGTGATCCCAACTAGAGCTGCATGATACCAGGAAAATGTGCAATATTGTCATTGAGTATTGCGATAACTATATTTCTTACAACATAACATTTCTAGTGCATCTGACCAGTTAATCTAGCTCGTGTAATCAGTAAATTTAGTGTCCTTTAAAATTAGCACTGGATACCTGAGGTGCTTTTTTTTTTTTATACTTCAGTTTTGTAGACTGGCTTTGCATTTAACATTTTTTTAAATCATTCTTCGTCTTTTAAGATCTGAAGCTTTAAATTTATATGTGTGATCCCAACTAGAGTTGCATGATACGAGGAAAATTTGCGATGTTGTTGAGTATTGGGATAATATTTCTTACTATAAAACATTTCTAGTGCATCCGACCAGTGAATCCAGCTCTTGTAATCTGGCCGATCAAACAGTGAATTCAGTGTTCGCAGTTAATGTAAGGGAATAAAAACAACACAATTATTTTCCTAAGTATTTTCAAAGGAGGCAGGCAACGACGCCAAAACTAGCATTTAATACCTGAGGTGCTTTTTAATTCTATGTTTCCATTTTCTAGCCTGGCTTTGCACGTAACATTCGTTGTTATCATTCTACGTTGATTGTCATTATTTTTAAATAGGATTTTTAAATGCGTCAACCCTCTACATTTCAATGCATTCTTAATGGCTGTGTGTGTTTTATCAATTATTAGCTGGGAAAAGTAATCCCAACTAGAGCTGCATGATACCAGGAAAATGTGCGATATTGTCATTGAGTATTGCGATAACTATATTTCTTACAACATAACATTTCTAGTGCATCTGACCAGTGAATCTAGCTCATGTAATCAGCAAACTTAGTGTTCTTTAAAATTAGCACTGGATACCTGAGGTGCTTTTATTTTTATTCTTCAATTTTGTAGACTGGCTTTGCATTTAGCATTTTTTAAAAATCATTCATCGTCTTTTAAGATAGGCTTAACATTAAACAGTGCAGCTTCTCCACTGTCGCCTGAAGCTTTAAATTTATATTCATGATCCCAACTAGAGCTGCATGATACCAGGAAAATATAAAATATTGTATTGAGTATTGCGATTTTAATATTTCTTACAGTAAAACATTTCTAGTGCATCCGACCAGTGAATCCAGCTCTTGTAATCTCCGATCAAACCATAAATTCAGTGTTCGCAGTCAATGTAAGGGAATAAAAACAACACAATTATTTTAACTAGTTCCAAAGGAGGCAGGCAACGACGCCAAAACTAGCATTTAATATCTGAGGTGCTTTTTATTTTTTTGTTTCCATTTTCTAGCCTAGCTTTGCACGTAACTTTCATTGTTATCATTCTATATTGATTGTCATTATCAAATAGGATTTTCAAATGTGTCAACCCTCGGTATTGTCATTGAGTATTGCGGTAACTATATTTCTAACAATATAACATTTCTAGTGCATCTGACCAGTGAATCCAGCTCGTGTAATCTATCCAATCAAGCAGTGAATTAGGTGTTCGCAGTCAATGTAGGAAAGTAAAAACAACACTAATTATTTTCCTAGGAAGTTCCATTTAATACCTGAGGTGCTTTTTTGTTATGTTTCCATCTAGCCCGGCTTTGCACGTAACATAGTTTTTTTTTTTATTATTCTTAGTTTTTAAGATTGTCGTTATCTTTAAGATGTTTAACTTCAATCAGTGCAGCTTCTCCACAAAGCTTTAAATTGCATCAACCCTTTATATTTCAATGGCTGTGAGTGTTTTATCATGTATTAGTTGGGAGAAAATCATTCTGAACGTGATTGAAACTAGACCTGCGCGTTACTGTGAAAATATTTGATAATGTTGTTGAGTATTGCGATAACGATATTTAACAACATTTAACAAAGGCTATTCTTATTTTCTCTGTTGTTAAATAGTTTTTTATGTAATTATATTAAAATAAACAGTTGAAAGATCTAGTCAGTTCTAAAAAAAATCTTTGTCAAGATGCAAACATTTAGTCTTTAAACCACTACGAATGAGTGAAAACTTGCGTGGATATTCTGACTCTGATTGGCTGTTGTCATTTTTGTCTCGACCTGTTAAGGTTTATTTTCAGCTCTATATTTACTCCTGGGCTGCTTCAGCCAATAGCTCAACAGCAAGTACTAGGGAGGTGGGGCTCAAGATAGTAATGCCCTACTGATTGGTCATATTAATATACAAGAACAACCTATGCTTGAAATTAAATGTAATTTATCAAACATGTCTGATATACATATAGATCATTTTGAGGGATGTAAACAAAAACAACGGTCTCAACACATTTCCTGTTTTACATGTTTAATTTCTACAGATTCCGAGAATCCAAAAAGAGCCACATATTGATAAATAATGTTATGACAGCTGTTTTAACAAAGTTATGATTAAATCGCCTCCTGTTACAGTTATGAAATAGTTTGATAACAAGCAGGAAATGTTCATAGGCCAATGACATCACCACATTGAAATGGTCAATAGGGTATATACTATTATTGGGATAACAATAATATTTGCGATATATTGTGCAGCTCTAATCCCAACGACAGTCTGCTGTTGTTTTACGGTCTGAATGGTTTTTATTAAGATGTCTTTGTTGTTGTTTTTTTATAGTTTTTGTGCTTCGTGTGAACAGAACTTTATTGTAGCTTCTGCCATTGTGTTTTCTTTCTTTGACAAGATTTTTCAAAACTGTTTATTGTTCTTAAAGATTTCCAAGATGCACCAGAGAATTGAGAAATACCAGAAAACACTGAAGAATTACGATGATGAGCGTGCAAAGGTACTTTGTCCAGTATGAGCTGATTTAGTGGTTGAAATGAGAAACCAGTAATTACTTGTATGCTTTATTAGGTGCTGTTGTGTCTGGATGTCCATTGTTACTGGAAACCAGAGTATTTTCTAATGCTTAGATGAGATACACTGATATCTGCTCTAATTATGTCTAGTTTAGTAAATGTTTAATCTCTTAAAAGAGGATTTGAGTGATTAAAAAAGCATGCAATTGGGAAATATTTAGATTACTAGTAGTTTATGATTTCCTTTCCTTATTATTCAAATATCACATTTTCAAGAAGTTTATTAAATCATTGAATGTCACATGGAGATAAGTAAGAGTGCTCTTGCTGCTTTTTGTTTTGATCTAACAACAGGTTCATGTCCTTATGGATGAAGCTAAACTCCGAGAAGACGCTCTTAAGGCTCAGGTTCTGTCTTTTGAGAAGGAAAATGGTGCTTTAAAAGAGCAGAAGAAATCTGTAAGTCTTTCTGTCAGAGCTGTACACATATCAACATGAAAATCATCCATCGCTTCAGCTTGATTTAAAGGCACAGTTCATCCAAACCTCCATTCATCTGTTTAATACAAAGAAAGATATACTAAAGAACAGCCATTGACTTAAGCAGTATAGGTCTTTGTGTCCAAAAATTTGGGTGGGAACCTGAAGCAACTTGGGTTACATTATGATGTATTGGGACCCAGACTGGACTGACTGAAATGCGTAGGTTTTGTTTCCAAAATGTTGTGCGGTATCAAAAACTTCATTAAAACAACACTCTTCCTGCAGTTCCACACATTCAATATCTTGTTTGTCACAGGGGGCATGCATGAAATGGTCCTGAATGCCCATATGAATGTAGTCAGTAGCTATGTTTCCATCCACCTATTTTATGCGCATTTTGCATATGCACATAAAAAACCAGTTGATGGAAACGCCATGATGCGCATAAAGTTTGAAAACGCGCATAAAAAAACGTATTCGCATAACTGTGTAGGATAAACTTTTTATTCGATAAGAAAAGATGCACATAAACTGCGATGGAAACACTTTTACCGTACAAACTCCAGCATGCGCATTAAAAAAGGTCATGTGATTTTGTTGAAAGAGATCATGTGATGCTTAAAATGTGTGTGAATGGACAAAACGTCAGGCTGAGCACATTAAAAAAACATCTGAAATGTTGTTTTGGTCATTATAAAACACCTTAACGTTTCAGTATTAGTGTTATTATATTATTAATGACCTCCAGAATCAAGAGCGCCTGTGCTCCGCGTCTGACACCTTCAAACGCCACTGCGCGCTCACTGCATGTCAGGATTGTCTTCCGTGGCGCATTCATTTAGAAAAGCTTGATGCAGCTTCTCCTACTGCAGCAAATGCAGTTTTCACTGTTGATATTTGGCGCCAGTTAATCAGGAAGTGACGATTTTGTTCGCTTTGACTCGTTGGATGGAAACGCTGCTTCATTCGCACAACGTTTATGCGATAATCCAGTTTTGCGCATAAAGTTCATTCACATTTTCGGATGGAAACATAGCTAGTGTCTATCTCCCCTGCGTCTGTGTTGCTGCTGTGTAAATCAGTGCGTGCATATAATGAAACTCCCCTTTTCATGCAAATCCTTCCCTCTTTTATGGCCCTTTAAAATATAGAGCCAAACTCGCACAGGTCTCAGGTCTGCTGTGAAGGCTAACGCTAACACCTCAATTCCATAGTATTTTGTATTTCTGCTATGGATGTTAGTGGCTGCTTTTCAACTTTCATCAGGATATTCATAAATCATTCATATTTCATCAGAGATTCATTGAAGTTTAGAATCGCTTGAGTGTGAGTAAATGCTGAGGAAATTTAAATTGAGGATGAACCATCGGTTTCAGTAGCATGTATTTTCTGGCAGCTCCTTGGCGACGCTAAAGACTGGCAGGAGAAGCACAAGAAGCTGAGCGAGGAGATCCGAGTTTATCACAAATCCCAGAAAGAGCTGGAAGACTCTCTGGTGCACAAGGAGAACGAGATCGATGTGAGTGAATGTTTTGCAGATTATAAAACAATGACTTTGTGTGTTGTCTGCAAAAAGTCTCATCTCAAATGCATGACGTCTGATGAATCTGTAGGTTTTGTCCAGCTGTATCGCCGAGCTCAACCGACTGGGAGGCTGCGACTCTGCAGAGCTACAGAAAGAAGATGCTAGAATGTCTAACGGGGATGAATCTGGTAAACGCTTTTGTTTGTAACTCCAGTTTTTATTCGCATTAGTTTTCTGTCTTTTTTTGGTGATCTTAATGGAGGAGTCGTGTGCAGTCTGTGTTTTCGGTTATTCATGGGATGTTGATGTCTGCTCTGTCGACTTTTGATGTTGAAAATTCAACTCCACAGTTTAACAAAGTGACTTTTTTTGACATTTTAAGGCTCGTACACACCGGGACGCTATTCGATTGTGTTTATCGTCAGCGTTTTACGAGACGTTTTTCCGTTATTAAACCCAAACGATTTTCACTGGCGTCAAGCTGAAGCGTATGCAAAATCACTCCTTGACGTTAGATGGCGCTACACAACTTTAAGCTTCTGACACCCGCTTATAACACAGAAGAAGAGGAAGAGAGGAAGTTGGCATGCTTGTTGTTAAAGTTACTGGTGACTCGAACGAGCATGGATGGTTCAAGCTCCAGCTCTAGCAATGAAGAAATGATTATTGTCCACCAGTGCAATAAGCAGCTCCACATTCATATCGCCTCTGGGCATCTTCTTCACTGTGCGCTCGCAATGACAGTTTTGCACTTGAGCACCTCCAAGTGCTGTTTACTGTAACTTCAGCAGCTCCGTGCACGTGAACAAAAAAACGAGCATGAAATTTTTTTTTTAAATGACGCTTTTGCACCAGGCGTTTTGCGCGTTGGAGTGCACAATCACATTGACGCCCTTTATTTAGTCACGAGGCGATAAACGTCGATGGAAAACACGAGCAAAAAACGTCTCTGTGTGCAGGGCCGGAGTTGGACTCCTTTTCAGCCCTGGAGTTTCAAGCCTTAGACCGGCCCACCTCAGTTTACGACTGACTATATTAAAATAACGTAATTTCGAATTCAGTTTCTAATGACACGGATTACATATTTTTCAAGAAAACAGCTGCTTTATAAAGTTGAAATGTTCAACAACCCAAACAGTATTATATGTCTTGACAAAAACAAATAAAAAATATTAATAATAAATTCAATTAGATGGGTAAGGATCGAACTCGAGTCCTGCAGTGTGGTAACGCAACGTGCTGACCACTGGACCACAATGGCGCTGTTGTTAAAAACTTGTCTATTGACGACTTAATCTTTTTCTCCCCTTTCTAGATTTCTCATCAATTTACGTCAGATTTATTAATGTAGTGAATCATCTGATTTTCATTGAGCAGGTGTAATATTCATAATATTAATTATTCGAATTCTTATATTCACTAAGGTGCCGCTGTTTAGGGTCGAATGATAGTTGCGTCATCATTAACCTGCGGGCTGCATTTTGCTCAAGGGGCTGCGAGAAAATAAATAAAAAGTGCGGAGCTGCGGCAAAATAATGAATAAAAAGAGTGAGACTATGGTCAAATAAATGAAAAAATGAAAAAAATAATGCAACTGCTGAGAGTGCAAGCAGCTAGGAACACCGGCCCTGGTGGCCAAAAAATGGACTGGCCCACCGGGAATTCTCCCGGTCCTCCCGATTAGCCAATCCGGGCCTGTCTGTGTGCACAGGCCTTAAGTCATTCATATAATGTATAATGAATAATATATAGAGAAAAATGTTGATAAAATAACAGATAATGTGCTGCAGTTTATTGCAAGGTTTTTGTAGCAAAATGTACAACACCAACACCAGACAATATAGCACTGCAGACTATTATAAAAGACAAAAAGTCACTTTTTTTTTACCTTTCAAGGTTCATAGCCCCATAATGCAATTCAAAAACATAAATGTATGGGGAAAAATAGGAACATAAATCCCAAAATATGGAAAACTGATAACTTGCTGAGGTTTTTTGCAGTGTGTTTGTGTGTTCATTTGCTCATAAAAAGTGTTTTACATGCAAATCTGCATGACTCATTTCAGAATTGTGGGTTCATTTCATACATTTTCCATTATTAATCCTTGTACGCTGTTCAAATTTACTAGTCTTTTGTTATGTTATGTAAAACACCCACTTAAATAAACTGCTGTAAAAATGCATCAGATTAACATACTTTTAAACTTTTTTTTTTACATAAATCTGCTAATCAGCCTCAGTCCTGATCAAAACAACTAAATGTTTTTAAAAATGACACAATTTTAACTCTTTAATTGCCAAATTCACAAATGATGGCACTGATGTGGTGTACAAACACACACAAAATGATGTATTTTCAATATGAAAAGTAGTTGTGGACTGAAATTTTTTTACTATTTATCACAGTCTTGCACATGTAAAAGATTAGTAACAACATTAGCTTTGATGCATTGTTTTTGTGCAGTGTAAGATTTAAATGTTTTTCTCCCTAATTTACTTTTTGTGTCTGTTTCTGCCCCTTTGACTTCAATTATAAGCACATTTTTTGGTTGCAAAATCAAGACACCATATAATCATGCATTCTGATCATCATTTGGCACCATTAACCCCGTAGACAGGTCTGTGCAATAAATAAATGAATAAAGCTTAGTTTCTGGATGTTACATTTAGTTATAAGGAGTATAACAGCAAATGAAAGTGTATGTCTGTGAATGTTTTAAAGTGTGAGAGTTACCTTTGCGCACTTATCTTAATATATCTTAGAAAATCAAAATATGCATCTTTGCTTTCCTGAACTACATGGATTAAACTAATAAAAGGTAAAAAAAAAATCCAATCTACAATTACTTTTTATATTAAAAATACGCCATTTTGTGTGTCTTTTTTTATTTATGAAATCACACCATTTAATTTAACGTACTGAATGTTAGTGTATTTCATCATGCTGCTGCATTTTTAGGGATTATTAATCTCAATATTCTTCTCATTACTGAACAACAATTGTCTTTTTTTTTTTCATTCAGAGAAGAAAATGGACACTATGAGACTGCGAATCAAACAGATGATGGACGTCTCCAGGGTACGCCCACTCCAATCACACTTATTACAGCTTATTCAGCATATTTCTAATGCTCTCTTTCTGTTGTTGCAGATTAAAGCCACTCTCAGCGTTGTGGAGGACGAGAGGAATCGCTATATGGAAAATCTCCTCGCTGAACAGAAATCCAGACAAGAGCTGGAAGGTATGAAGTTTGTGGATCAACATATGAACATTGCTTTCCACATGCAGGGTTTGCTTGTTTTGAGACATTATTTAACATATTTGCTGAGAAATAGCTAATTACGATGAGGCAAGTACGTTATTTTGTTCTGCAGGGAGATTACAGAAAATCCATAAGTGTTTAGCCTTATTTAAGTTTAAAAATTCCATTCTTCTTGGTCTTATAAAGATCTTAAAGTCCTTAATTTGACTTGCAGAAACCAGAGTGCAAGTTACAGGATGGTTTGATGGGGGGGATTGACCTCCCCCTAATTAAGGCTTGATCTCCCCATTGAAGGATGTCAAAACAAAATGTATGGGGTCCCTTTAAATATAAGAAAAAGTTCACTCTGATCTGTATATTTTAAATAATAATGTGAATAATTAAAATAATAGATATCCATTTGACCACCCCTATAACGGTTCATACCATTGTGAATGCATAATCCCGCCAATCCATCTATGCTAAAAAAGTCAGAAGAAAAAAGTCATTCAGCAGTCTGAAAACTGAAGATTTGGAGCACCGATAGACGGCGTATGAAGTCACAAGACTGTTTTCTCAAAAAATAGGTTTTTGTTTTTACATGATGTCTAAAAGTAGTCAAGTTAGATGCATCGTTTGACTTAAAGTAAGCTGAGCTCATCAGGTCAGAATACACTAAATAGCTTATCCCACAATACACTGAAAACTTAAACGCATGATCTTGCACTGGCCTCACATCTTTATCTTATTGTGTTCTGTGTTTTTAATGCAGAGCAATATCAGAAGGTCATGCATGACCAGATGAATCTGAACAATGAGAAAACGCATCTGGAGAACCAGATGAAGAACCTGCAGCAGAGACTGGAGATCACCACTGAACTCTACCAGCAGAAGGAGAACGCACTGCAACAGTGAGATCACGTGTTAATCTCATCTTATTTGAACAAGATCAGACTCTCTAGACATTCATGACATCACTTCCAGTTGTTTACAAAGGGTTGCAAAAAATTTATTTTCATGTTAGTTGCAGTGTTAGCCCTATGTGATATTGACGCTTATAGTGATACGTTTACCTTTTTTTATTTTTTAAACATTGCACATTTTAATCACACCTTAGGGTGCTTTCACACCTGTGAATCGATTCAGTTGTTCTGAAACAGAGATTACAAATGTTACATTTTGCTCTTGGAGCGGTTCGCTTTCACACTGCAAAGTTTCTAATCGGACCAAAAGAGCTAAAACAAGTCACCTGCGAGTAAACTCTCCTCACATTGGTCAGTGTCAGGGTTTATTTTGCAGCGTCCCGCTCAGCTGTCAGGAGAGGTGGTGGTTTGGTGGTGATTGACAGGGTGCGCGCGTGACGTGTCTGAGGAGAGACGCGGTGGGGAGTGGTGAGAAGGGTGCGCGACGATGCCTATTTGAGGACCGGGAGGGAGACGTGAGATTACTGGGAGATCATCACTCGTTTGCGGGCATCCGGAGACTCGCGAAACCTCCCGCTATAATCATAATTCTCTCTTCATATAGCCGTATGCCTATTACATATCCATAAAACACTGTGATATAACCGCGCTCGGATCGGATGGCTTTCTCACTGCAATCGAACCGCTCCAGGGTCCAGCCGAGACCACCTCATTCAAGCGATCTCGGAGCGATTACTTTGGCGCGGAACAGAGCGCGATTGCCCTGTTCACATATGCCAAACGAACCGCGCTAACTGGGCAAACGAGACACGTTCCGAAACAAAAGTGTAGGTGTGAAAGCACTCTTATTTTACAAGATCAGACTTTCTAAACGTTTATAAATCACATGCGGTAGCTCAACAATTTTTGCAAGAATGTTTTATGTTAGTTATAGTGTGTGTGTGTGTGTGTGTGTGTGTGTGTGTGTGGTATTGACAAACGTAGAGATTTTTATTTCCCCTTATTATTTTTTATTTTATTAAACATTGCTCTTATTAATCAAGTCTTATATTACAAGATCAAACTGTCTAAACGTTCATAAATCACATGCGGCAGCTCAAAAATTGTTACAAGAATGTTTATTTCTTTGTTCGTTACAGTGTTAGTCAAGTGTGATATTGACAAATGTAGAGATTTTTTATTTCCCCTTTTTATTTTTTATTTATTAAACATTGCACATATTAATCACGTCTTATTTGACAAGATCAGACTTTCTAAACATTCATAAATCACATGCGGTAGCTTAAGAATGGTTGCAAGAATGTTTATTTTTATGTTAGTTACAGTGTTAGTCGTGTGTGATATTGACACTTATTGTCATGTTTCCCTATTTTATATTTTATTTTATTAAACATTGCACATATTAGTCACGTCTTATTTTACAAGATCAGACTCTCTAAACCAGGGGGCTCAAACTCGTGGCCCGCGGGCCATTTGCGGCCCTCAGTGCAATATTTTGTGGCCCGCGCCGACCGCTGTACACTGACAGAATCAGCGGAGCGGGGAGAGAGAGCGCTCCCCGCTCCGCTGATTCTATCCGTACACAGCGCGCTTGTCACTCAATGCGCGTTGTCGCGCGCGTTTTGATCAGCTGTGTTGTCGCGCGCGTACTCAAGAGCGGTGTTATCGCGCGCCTACTGAAGGGCGGGACCGAGGGTGTGCCGCGTCGCGGGGACACTTTTGATCATTTTGGAAGGGCACTTTCTATGCAAGACTAAAAAGGGCATGTGCTCTGCACAGGTTGAGCCCTATGTGTGCACGTGCCTGCCCTGCATCTTATATATATTATCAGCCTGATCTCACGAGAAAACGTAAGTATTTTACGTTTTGCCAGTTTAGTGGCTAATTCGTACGAATTCGTACGTGTTCAGTCGTACGAAATGGTACGATTTTAAAAAGGAGGCGTGGCACCTGACCCCACCCGTAAACCCAACCGTCATTGGGGGATGAGCAAATCGTACTAAATTGTACGAATTAGATCGTTCAAATTCATACAAATTAGCCACTAAATAAAAAAGTTACGAATTGCCGTGAGATTGTGTTGATATTATAGGTAGATACAGACTGGTACAGACTGATGTGACTGGAGTGGGGTGGGGGTGTTTTATTTATACATATATACGCCTTTTTTTTTAGGTGAGGGAATGGAAGTTTTGAGTGAGTTCCCCCACTTTTTTCCCTAGGACTTCAATAAGTCAAAGTACAGGTCTAGACTTAATGATGATCATCTTCAAGCCACACTGAGGGTCTCAACTGCTTCCGCTCTAAAGCCAAATGTGGTTCAGATTTGTGAGAAGAAGCGCTGTCAAGTCTCTGGCAGCAAGGAGTAGGCAAAAGATGCCATGTTCAGAAGAACTGTTCATAATCTTCACTCAATGTTCTATTAATGTTCAGAAGAAATAATTAAAACTGTTAATAATGACATTTGAGGACTTTTTTTTTGTGAAATCCCTTATGCGGCCCAGCCTCACCCAGACTTTGCCTTCTGCGGCCCCCAGGTAAATTGAGTTTGAGACCCCTGCTCTAAACGTTTATAAATGACATGCGGCAGCTCATGAATGATTATTTTTATGTTAGTTACAGTGTTAGTCGTGTGTGATATTGACATTCCTTTTTATATTATAGGTTTTTAAACATAGCAGGAAAAAAAAAACTCTGAGAAAGCAGATAAACAAACCCCAAACAACAGTCAGACTTGAAAGAAAGAAAAAAACACAAGGAAACTAAATACACTGAGTGCAATTCCACAAAAGTTACATAAGGTTGCCAAGTAGTAAAGAATATCTTATTAGTTTATATATATATATATATATATATATATATATATATATATATATATATATATATATATATATATAGCCCAGCCTCACCCAGACTTTGCCTTCTGCGGCCCCCAGGTAAATTGAGTTTGAGACCCCTGCTCTAAACGTTTATAAATGACATGCGGCAGCTCATGAATGATTATTTTTATGTTAGTTACAGTGTTAGTCGTGTGTGATATTGACATTCCTTTTTATATTATAGGTTTTTAAACATAGCAGGAAAAAAAAAACTCTGAGAAAGCAGATAAACAAACCCCAAACAACAGTCAGACTTGAAAGAAAGAAAAAAACACAAGGAAACTAAATACACTGAGTGCAATTCCACAAAAGTTACATAAGGTTGCCAAGTAGTAAAGAATATCTTATTAGTTTATATATATATATATATATATATATATATATATATATATATATATATATATATATATATATATATATATATATTTATAAAGATATATATATATTTATAAAGATGTTTTCAATAGCATTAATTGAGCGATATGTAGCTCTTAACCATTTAAAGCCTGCTGCGTCATATTCAATGCATGAACTCATTTTAAGACCAGATTTGATCTAGTGGTTTTTAGCAGATGTTGTATTGGACATACAAGAATGACCCATGGTTTTTTGCTCCTAGGTGAAAACGCTACTCTGTGTTTGTACGGTGAAATTCCCCTTACTATAAAACACATTTCACTGAAGTGTCCTGCTTTTAATGATTCCAGAGCACTTTTTTAGGAAATGAACTCTTAAGGACATTTTCAGCAAAGTGACACAGGGAAAATTCTTATCATGTATTAACACTAAAAATCTTATTTAATTTAGGTATTCATTTGTTTAATGGTTTTTAATTGTATATTTATTATTGAACTGTTCCTGCCATAAAAGTAGCCTTGATTGCTGGCATGGCATTAAATAAAAATCACAGTACAATACAATCGATGCATGAAGAAAACTGTAAAAATCTCTTTAACAAACAGTAGCATTAGAAAAATCATGTAAAAGCAGCGGCTGTGGATTTGGCTGTGGATCAACTATGATCTGTCGCAGACCTTGTTGCAGGTGTGCTAAAAAGCACTAAGCAGCGATTGGTCAGTGTAATCGACAAGTATTGTGTTGTTGCGTGTTCAGAAAGTTGACTCAGGAGGAGCTGGAGAGACGCGAGAAGGAGACGAAGCTGTCGGAGGTGGACAGTAAAGCGCTGCGCTCGGAGGAGGAGGTTCGAGCTCTCAAGCAGAAGATAAAGGACATCGAGGAGGAGATGCAGCAGAACGAACGCTCACTCAAATCTGAGGTCAGAAACTCGCAAAATATTCACTTTGGTGGCAATCAGTTGGAAGTACTTTCAGCAGGAAAACTTTAACAGTGCGTTCACACTGAAGGCGGCGAGAGCGTCATAGTAGCCAGAGTCATTCGTTTTCATTAGCCGCATTTCCACTGTTGGGTCAGTGCGAGCCAGGGCTTTTATCGGGCTGGGCTAATCCCCCGGGAGGTTGAGTAGTGAGGCTGAAATCATGTTGCGTTTCCACTGTCAGGCTAGTAGCGAATGTCACAAACGTCACACAACACGCCCACTTCAGCGGGAATCAGGCAGATGAAGCACACCGTCACATCATCACAAGAGCATTAAAACGAAGACAACCGAAACAAACAATTGACTGTACATCATTACATTATATGTCTACACACACAGGCCTTTGTATTTTCATTCATTATATTCATTTACTCGCCGACTGACTGTTGGTATCGTGCATCAATTGGTCTCGCTACTAACGGAGGGAGGGACCTAGCGCAGTGAGCATCCATAATATAAACCCACAGAAATTCTCCGGTGATAGCTCAGTACGAAATGTATTTTACAACATCCTCGTTTTGGTAGACGTCGTCAAACATTCAGCCCAAATGCTATGGAGAGACCTGAAACATATTAATTTTCCCCTATTGGCCATATGACACTTCATAGGTGATTCCCTTTTATTTACGGATGTTTTATATTATTCGCTTATCTTAAGTAAAGTGTTTCAGCACATAAGAGCAAGTAATAATATAGCCTATATTTCGTTGCGCTCAGCGGCTTTTCACTAATGAAGCTCTTCATGTATTTAAATTTTATTTTTTACTTTTTTAATTTAATTGATTTAAAATTCAATTTTTTTATTTTAGCACATCATATAAAAGCATAAACACTTGTTTGAGGACACAGATCACATTTTGTATTTGCAGTTTTCCTCAATGCGTCTGTAAAGCGGCGCTGCGCAGGACTGGATGACAGAAAAAGGTCGCCGAGTTTCTGCTTTCACTCACCCAGATTGCTCTGTTTGCAGGATTTGATTAATATCCTCGTTTCCAAACACTTTATAAATAATATTCAAACCTCCTCCTGTGTTTTAGAAAATATCTAAAATCTTTTTTTTTTTAGATAGGCCTTTGTAAAATGAAAGTTTAATATGGCTTTAAAAAGGTTTGACCTACATTGTTCTAGCTTTTGTTTATTTTATTTTATATTGGTTTATTTATTTAATGTGATTTTATTACATCCGATATATGTAATTCTTTAAATTATTTTAATATATAATTTAAGTATTTTATCAAGATCTGACACTATTGTTTTGAGTCTACAAAAGTGGACAGGTCATTTGTAAAATTTCATGTCTTTCTGCTGTATTCATATTTTTTATTATCTCCAAAATGAATAAAAGAAAAATCAACAGAGCTGTAAAGGGAACAGCACTCTTTAGTCTGGTGTCACATTTACATACAGGCATTTAACCTGCACGCATCACGTACAAACACACCTTTTAAACTTGACAACTCTCGACAACCTTTACTACCTGCTGTGTCTTTAATATGGTAAAGATTATTATGCGTTATTGAAACATTAAGGAGGACGGAGCAAAGAAAAGTCACTTATAAATTAAAACTTTATTATTTTGTGCAACAACCTTACATTTAAAAGGGAAACATAAGGGCGATCATACGCAAAAAGACCCCAGACTATAAGTCTAGATGTTTTCTTTCCCTTATTGATTTATTTGTTTGCCGCATGTACTTGTTTGAGATCGGAAAACTAATGATGGCATGAAATCTTTAACAGATTCAGGCGAAGTCCACCTCTCCTTTCACTCCGCCTCGAAGCCCCAGCTGGCCCTCTTTGGCCCAAGGTATTCGACGGGCTGTAAAAGGCCCAGAGAAAGCCCTGCTTTGGCCCGATAAGGCCCCGGAATTGACAGTGGAAACGCAACTGGCCTTGGCTTGCTCGCTTAAGGCACGAAAGTGAAAACGCGGCTAATGGGAGCCAGCGACGCGGCATGTCTTCGCCTGTGTTGGCTTTGAGGAGTGTTGAAATCAGATCAACTTTATGGTAGTGAGCTATGACCCCGTTTGGCAGCACCCAGTCGAAATGTAGACGTTCACCACTTGAGAGAATTCCACGGTACTGCAAACTTTGGGGTTGCAGTATTGCAGTCGCCAGATTTCCAGTTATTTGCAATTGTTATCTTATAGGGATTTGAATAAAAAAAAAAAGTTAATGGTGAGTTACTGATATTATATATGTTTGTTTTTTTAAACTGGAATCTGTAATTAGAGTATTTTAGGACATATTTGATAAGTGGAGCAAAGCCACACCACACACAACAACTTGATCTTTCATAGTTAAATGAATTTGATAAAAGAAGCGCAGCATTTTCACAGTAGAAAGCTCATTTTTATGCGGGAATGTAAGTGATTTGCTAATATGCTACAACAGCCTCTTTAAATACGAGATCAATGAAATGAACTTTGATGTTCTCACCGCATTCGTTGTGAACGCACAGTAAGGCTGGTGCTCAGTCAAGCCAAACATAATAGAAAAAGTAAACCAAATTGGCACACTGACACTTTCACGTTCTCACAAGACTATTTAAAGGTGCTGCATGTACGTTTTTGACTCTTTTAAAGCATGAAAGTATCCTAATATTGCAGATGTTTCAGAAACATGCTCAGTGAACATTCTTGTTTATCTGAGAAACAATGCTGAAGTCAGATATTCTTTTCAGAATGTGCGTTATGTGCCGGAACGGTTTTGTTTTGGTCATTTAACCCGCCCACTGCCAGTTCAGCCAATTATATTTCAGCCCCCAGGTTGCCTTGGTGGAAAACAGCGTATTTCAATCAATCAATCAGTCAGTCAGGAAGGATCTTAAAACATGCATCCGTGACCGAAATGTGACCTCCGATGGACAGTAGCAGACTCCGAAATTAGATGCAGATTCAGAGTTCCACATAAGGTTGTTAATTAACAAATAATATAAACATTTTGAGCATAAACATTAGGTGAGCAGGTTACATTGTCAGATCATTTCAGTTTTCTGTTGTTCAGCTGCAAGACATAGAAGCAGTTTCTATAATATAAATTTCAGGTGTTGTTAGAACAAAAACACGTGTTCGTGTGCTGTTGCTTTTTAGAACATGCGTTAAATCAGTCTTTTGGCTCGATTGTCAGGCTCGCTCCTATAGGTGTAGTAAATCTGGCAACCTGCCCTTGCTTGTGTTTTGAACCAGGCGTGCAATACCTAGTTCAACCACTGGATGTCAAACTTACATATTGCACCTTTAATAGGACAACGTTTCGACCTACTCACCAGGTGAAATGTTGTCCTATTAAATTGTCTTTTTAGAGTTAAAAAAAAGTCACATCAAAGTTTCACTGTACATTTATTGGTGGCTGCAAAACGTTTGCGGTGCATATATTTTTAAATGCATTTTTCCTCTTGATTGATAAGTTTCACGCATTTTGGTTTTAATTTGAATTTTTTTGACAGCATTTTATCTCCCATAATCCACCTTTGTTGGCTTAACTTTTTTGCCAGTTGTCTAAAAAAATAAAATAGTTGTATTAGTGAATGGTAGAAACAGAACAAACACGGATGCTTTTTAGTCTGCATTCAAAGACATTGAATATATATGATTTATTTATCATAAAGTTTGGATTTGTTTTTACTTTTTATGATTTGGCAATTGTTTGTTATTATTAGCGTTATTGTTATCTTCATTTTAAGGCTTCATTTTGGCTTATCACAATATATATAAAAATTATTGTATGTAGTTGAGTGTAATGTAGTTATTATGGTTATTTTACAAAAATTTGTTTGCAATTTTTCCAACAGGTGGCAGTGCAAGAGAAGAAGGCCCATGAGAACTGGGTGAGTAATAAGCATGTTTTCTTCATTTTTATATTTTATAACTAATAAATCATAAACTCAAATATACTTAAGGATAAAAATTCTGAACTATTGCATGAAAATTGCATGTGGATTCCTGTTACTTGTCCACTACTGTGATATTAAAGGTCAAGCAAAATTCATTTCTTTTTAAATATAATTTTAAAATATGATATAATACATACATGTACATGCATATACAAAAAACCTAAAAATTAAAAACTTTACAGGATTTAAGATTGTGATCTGTTAAACACATCATAACAGTCTTGTGAAAGGGTCAATTTAATTTCATGGAGAACTATGTTTAAATGTTTCTGTATTTTTTTTTTCTTAGCTCTAGTGAGTGAAGGTTTTGCCTTTGTAACTGATATAATAATAACTGGTATATTAATCCTGCATTTGTGTTTGTCTTGAACAGTTAAAAGCACGCGCCTCAGAGAGAACTCTGGTGGAGGAGAGAAGAGAATCAGCCACTCTTCGGCAGAAGTGAATATCCATCACATCTCACATTATTACTGTTTCTCTCAGAGCGGTTTTGTCAATTTTTGTCTCAAAAAGATTGCATTCACAAAAATAAATTTCATACATCCACAACAATTCACATGTTAAAAAATGTGTAACATTGTTCAAAAATACGCAAATGCAATTCGTAAATTTAAAACATGGTTCGTAAATGCGCAAATCCAATATGTAGATTCAAAACACGATTCGTAAATATGCAAATCTTATTTGTAGATTCAGAACACAATTTGTCAATATGCAAATCCAATTCGAAAAAAAAAAAAAAGATTCATAAATGCACAAATCTAATTCGTAAATTCAAAACATGATTTGTACATGTGCAAATCCAATTCTTAAATTCAGAACATGATTTGTAAATGTACAAGTCCAATTCGTAGATTCAAAACACGATTCGTAAATGCGCAAACCCAATTTGCAGATTCAGAACATGATTCTTAAATACTAGGGATGTAACGGTATTGTAAATACCGTCATACCGCAATATTAAATTTTTTCGATATTACCGAAGTCGCATGACTCGGTAAAACTATAGGTCTTCTGAGAAAATTTGCTCAGGCGAATGAAGCGAACGGGAGGTAGCTGAAACTACATTTCCCATCAGCCCAGGCGTGGCCATAATCCTTTGCGGTCTGTTGTCGCTACAGATCCAGTAATGCGGAAATGGAGTGTGCTGCTAGTAGCGGAGATGAAAAAAAGATGGAAATGATCGAACCTAAAGCAGGTGTTGTCGCCGCGCGAGTTCTGATCAGCGGTGCTGTCGCGCGAGTTCTGATCAGCTGTGCTGTCGCGCGAGTTCTGATCAGCTGTGCTGTCGCGCGAGTTCTGATCAGCTGTGCTGTCGCGCGAGTTCTGATCAGCTGTGCTGTCGCGCACCTACTGAAGGGTTGGACGGAGGTTGTGTCGCGTCGCGGGGGCACTTTTGATCGTTTTGGAAGGGCATTTTCTATCCAAGACTAAAAAGGGCATGTGCACTGCACAGGTTGAGCCCTGTGTGTGCACGCGCCTGCAAGTTGGGGAATACGACTAATAGCAGTCATGGGGACTGCAGAAACATAGCAACCTGTTCAGATTGATGCAGACATTGACTTGTACCGCAAAGAGACCTCTATCTCACTCATGGTTTGTCTTCTCAAGTGGGGGAAAGACAATGCAAAACGTTACCCCACTGCTGTCAACATGGGCCAAGTCATATCTCTGTCCCAGAAACCTCAGTCCCAAATGAGAGGGTTTTTTTCTGTTGCAGGGGACATTGTAAATGCCCAGAGATACCAGCTTTTACCAGATTATAGTTATATGATAATTTTCCTTTAAACCCATCTCTATTTAAGTGAGTGAGTGATTAAATGTTGAATGTGATGAGTTTTCAACAATACTAAATTGAAACTTTATTTTTTTACATGGTTTAATAATTTTTTGTTATTTGTTATTAAAATTGAAGTTAGTGTTTCAAAGCTTACAGATAGATGGCTAATTTGTATGTCATTGACACTTTTGGCACTTTTTTGGAGTATTTTCAAAAGTTTTGTTTTTCCTGTAAGTGATTCAATAAATACCGTACCGTGACATTCATACCGAGGTATTACCGTCCCGTGAAATTCTGATACCGTTACATCCCTATTAAATACACAAATAAAATTCGTAAATTCAAAGCACAATTCGTAAATATGCAAATCCAATTCGTAGATTAAAAACACCATTCGGAAATATGCAAATCCAATTCGGAAATTCAGAAAACGATTTGTAAATGCACAAATCTAATTAGTAACTGCACAAATCCAATTCGTAAATACAAAACACTATTTGTAAATGTGCAAATACAATTCGTAAGTTCAGAACACAATTAGTGAATATGCAAATCCAATTCATTTGCCAAAAATATAATTTTTACTTGTGAATTAACAAATTGTGTGTTTATAAATTTACAAATTGGATTTTGTAAATGTTAATCCAAAACAAGGTTCGCAGGTATGAACTTTATTTTGTAAATGTATTATTTTTGAGACCGATCTGCCTCCATATTTTTTAAACTGTTTTTTTTGTGCATTTTTAAAGGCTTGTGGAATACCGAGATAAAATATCCGACATGGAACAAAGTCTGTTTAAGTTGAACTCTGGGCCGCCAGATCGACACATGCCGCCGCCACAGCGCAGAGGTGAGCAGGGTTTAGACAATGTTTTTTTATGATGACTAATTTTAATAGTGTCTTTTCACAAAAATAATTGAACAAAAGCATACACATCATTAATCTTAACTAAGTGCTCAGCCAAACAGAAGTATGCAAATATACAGTTGGAATCAGGATTATTAGCCTCCATGTATATTTCTTCCCATCAATTTCTGTTTAATGCAGAGCAGTTTTTTCAGCACATTTCTAAACATAATAGTGACATTTAAAGGCTTAACTAGGGTAATTAGGATAAAGTTAGAGTAATTAGGCAAGTGATTGTATAACAGTGGTTTGTTCTGGAGACAATGCAAAACTAATATTGCTTAAGGAGGCTAATAATATTGACCTTAAAATAGCTTAAAAAGATTCAAGCTTTTATTCGAGCTGAACTAAAATAAATTCACAGTAGGAGGCCAATAATTTTGAATTCAACTGTAGATGAAAAGGTGGCAACACCAAAAGCTCAAATTATCAAATGTCTTCACGTAAAAATGCTCACAGCATGTAAAGTTTCAAGCGCAAAGACTCTTCATCGTTTCCCCAAATTTCTCAGCAGTGTTTGTGGCATTTCTTGAGGTGTTTGTCTATTAAATATACACACAATTTTGCATATCATAATTTTTCATTACGTTTATTTTTAGTCTTAAAAGCAACTAATCTATGATAAAGGAAGCAAGGAGAAACAAAGGGTGATCTTTAGCCAGAATAAATAACTGTTACAGTCTCTTCAATAAAAGCATTAGAAGAAGAAGTGTGTTTATTAAATATAATGTATTAATTTGTTCAATCAATCCACTTTAGAGGTCTACCGATTAGCACTGCCTAGAAATATTGCATGCAATTACCGAGCTTTCCATGTAAAGCCAAGCATTTTAATGCCACATATCTAAAGACAGATTATTGGAAGATTTAGAGCTGTGAATTAAATTTATATCTATTCTAGTATTCTGTATGTTTAGTAGTCTGTCTTAAATACTATACTGTAGTGCAGGGGTGGCCAACCCTGTTCCTGGAGAGCCACCTTCCTGCTGATTTCAGTTGCAACTCATATCAAACACACCTGCCTGTAATTATCACGTGGTGTTCAGGTCCTAATTAATTGGTTCAGGTGTGCTTGAAATGGGTTGTAACTGAAATCTGCTGGAAGGGGGCTCTCCAGGAACAGGGTTGGCCACCCCTGCTATAGTGGAATATAATTATTTTGCATTAATTTATTACATTTCTATAAAAGTAAAACTGAGCTGCTTTGTGTTCTGTATTTCTATAAATCAAATGGGCCACTAAAAGCAGCCTGACATGATATAGAATTAGAGCATATATTATAAGCATCTGTGGCATCATATACAGCAGACCCAGACATTTTATGACCAGTGCGAGGTATTTAAATAATAGTTCATAGGTGTGATCTAGTGAGTAAACAAAAAGGGAACGTTCACATATCATGTCTTTTGCACGCTCAAGTATGGTATTTCAAATAGAGACGTGATGCATGCAAACTTCTAAACTTTTCAGTGTGCTGGCCATGTTACAAGAACTAACCAACCAGGCAGCTTCACACTTTGGATTGAATATACACTGTAGACTAATTACCTCAGAAAAACCATTTAACAAATCCAGATCCAGATCCTCTTTCAGTGATGATCATTTGAATGATTAGCGATGTAATCCGCGCTGAAGCGGTGTACAGGGGTTCATACGCTCCTGGAATATTGACAAGGCATTTTCGAGGCCTGTCGTGGAAATTTGTTTAACAAATTATTTGTGTACTTGAATATATTTGAGAGGATAATATTGAGTTAATTGTAACCGAGGTCGCGTTAGACTTTCTCATTGTCAGTCATTTTTTTTTTTTTTTTTTTTTTTTTTTTTAATGTTTTATTTATACATTGTGAAACATTACAAAAATTTACAAAGACATAATCATGTAACAATATGCAAATATACTGAAGAGTATTTTGAGCAAATAGTAATAATAAAAATAAATAAACAATAATAAATAAAAATATGATAATAAAAATAAATAGATAAATAAAATAAAAAACAACAACACTAGTGCAATCTTATATACATAAAAAAACAAGTCTACAATGTGTTGACCAGAAGTAGTTTCCCATAAAAGCTGGGCATTAGGGGGTGGGGACTCAATCAGAAGGAGCAGGGTCAAGCTGAAGAGTTTGGACATATTTCCGAAGGGGTTTCCATAAATTAATAAAAATAGTGCTAGTTCGGTGAAGAGAGTACCTAATTTTTTCTAATTTCATAAAATAAAGAACATTTCTTATCCAACAAGAGTGAGAAGGAGGGTGTGGGCTCTTCCAGTTCAGAAGAATTAATCGCCTAGCCAGAAGAGTTAAGAAAGCTACAAAGTCTACAAAATGAGAGGGTAAAGTGTGGTCGGGCGGAAGAACCCCAAATAAACCAATAATTGGACATGGTGGGATATCAACAGTGGTAATAGCTGATAGCGAGAGAAATATTTGTCTCCAAAAGGAAAGCAGGGAAGGACAGGACCAAAACATATGAAATAAAGTAGCTGTACCAGAATGACACCTGTCGCATTCAGGGTCTATAGACGGATTGATGCGAGCTAGCCTGCTTTTGGACCAATGAGCTCTATGCACTACCTTGCATTGTATAAGCCTGTGACGTGCACAGATTGAGGAGGAGTTAACCCTGTTCAAGACCGCTTTCCATGTCTCCTCTGTAATCTCAATTCCCATGTCTTGAGACCAGGTGGTCCGTAAGTTATCAGAAGAAAATTGAAGATTAACAATTATATTAAATAATTTAGAAATTGAACCTTTAGCACAGGGATCTATGCCCAGTATTGTGTCTAGATCTGAAGTTGGCGGTGCATTTGGAAAGTTAACAAATTTTTTGCGCACAAAATCTCGTGTTTGTAAGTATCTGAAAAAATTGGATTTAGGGACATTAAATTGAGAGGCCAACTGACCAAAAGAGGCAAAAACACCGTCAATGTAAAGATCACCAAAAGAAGCCAATCCAAGATCTCTCCATGAAGCATAAGCACTGTCCAAGATAGAAGGGTAAAACAGAGGATTGGAGTGTATTGGGGATAATAAAGAGATATTATGAAAACCAAAATGGCGCAAAAATTGGGTCCAAATTTTGAGACTGTTTTTTACAATTATATTATTTGAATATTTAATTGGGGTCATTGTATATGGGAGGCATAAAAGAGCAGCCAAAGAGGACGACTTATTGCACGAGACAGACTCAATGTGCAGCCAAGAGGGGGGATTCGCTAATTTGCATGAATGTAGCCAATATAGAGTAGAGCGTATATTTGCTGCCCAGTAATATATTTGGAAATTTGGAAGAGCTAGACCACCCAATTGTTTTGTTCTTTGAAGAATGCTTTTACGAATCTTTGGGGTTTTTCTGTTCCAGAGAAAACTAGAAATAGAGCAATCAAGTGAAACAAAAAAAGATTTTGGAATAAAAATAGGAATACATTGAAATAAGTAAAGAAATCTAGGAAGTACATTCATCTTAATACAGTTAACCCTACCGATCAAAGATAAGGGGAGGAGAGACCATCGATTAAAATCCTGTGTAAGATTATTCACTAATGGGACAAAGTTGAGGTCAAATAAGTCCGAAAAGCTTTTTGTGACATTTATGCCCAAATACTTGAAACTTTGTAAGGAGGATTTGAAAGGTAGAGAACCTAATGGGTAATCCAAGGCTGCTGTATTAATAGGCATTAATTCACTTTTACTCAAATTTAATTTATATCCTGAAATCAGGCCGAAGTCTGCTAGCAATTTCAACACCAAAGGAATAGAGGTACAAGGGTCAGACACGTATAACAAGAGATCATCGGCGTATAAAGACAGTTTGTGCTCCAACTCCCCCCTTTTTATGCCAGCCATTGCACTGGCTCTTAGAGCAATTGCCAACGGCTCAATGGCCATTGCAAATAGTAAAGGGGAGAGTGGGCAGCCTTGTCTAGTACCGCGACCAAGTGAGAAATATTTAGAATAATTGTTATTTGTTCGTACACAGGCCATTGGAGATGTGTATAAAAGTCTAATCCAAGTTATAATTTGATCAGGAAACCCAAATTTCTTCAGTGTGTAAAGCAGATACCTCCACTCGACTCTATCAAATGCCTTTTCAGCATCCATAGAAATAACTAATTCTGGAGATGCATTTGAAGAAGAAGAGTAGAGAATATTTAAAAGGCGTCTAATATTGTGAAAAGAGTGTCTATTTTTAATAAAACCTGTTTGGTCTGGTGAGATTATAGCTGGGAGAACAGTCTCTAAACGTCTTGCTAAAACTTTAGCTAATAATTTGACATCAGAACAAAGTAAAGAGATGGGACGATAGCTACTGCACTGGGAGGGGTCTTTATCTTTTTTAAGAATAAGGGAAATAATAGCCTGTCGGAGAGAAGGAGGAAGGATACCTGAACTGTAAGACTCATTAAACATGTTAAGTAAAAGAGGAGACAATTTGTCAGAAAATGTCCTAAAGAATTCTGCAGGAAAGCCATCAGGCCCTGGGCACTTGCCACTCTGCATGAGATTTAGAGCAGTCTTAATTTCTTCCAATGCAAGTGGAGCTGCCAAATTAGAGGAGATATCAGAATCAATACAGGGTAAATTTAGAAATTTGAAAAAAGTGTCAAATTGAGCGTCTTCGACTATATTTTCCGAAGTATATAAAGAGGCATAAAAATCTTTAAACATGTCATTAATAGTTAGTGGGTTGGCTGAAAAACCAGTGGGGGTGGAGATTTGAGTAATATGATGTGAAGCTGCAGACTGACGTAACTGATGAGCAAGCAATTTACTTGATTTATCACCGAATTCATAATAATTGGAATGAGTTTTATGTAAAGCATCAATTGCCTCATCTGTGGTAAGCAAATCCAATTCTGTCTTTGTTGTGAGAAACCGAGCGAAAAGGTCAGGGTCTGTTGAGTTAGCACATTTAGCCTGGAGGTCTGACAACAA